TTTTTTTTTCCGGTCGTGGAGCCTGAACTCTGGGCCTGGGCGCTGTCCCTCAGCTCTTCAGCTCAAGGCTAGCACTCTATCACTTGAGCCACAGCGCCACTTCCGGCTTTTTTTTCTTTGCTTATGTGGTGCTGAGGAATCGAACCCAGGGCCTCAGGCATGCAAGGCAAGCGCTCTACCACTGAGCCACCTTCCCAGCCCCCAGTGCCCGGCTTTTTAACAAAAATTTCTAAACATAAAAATTTCTTAGATCTGGAAATTACTTTTCAGGAAATTATCAGGTTACAAAACCAACATTCAAGAATCAGTAATTTTTGAATATACCAATAATAAATATTCTGAGAAAGATCAGGAAAACAATCTCAGTCACAATAGATGGACAAAGTAGTGGTACATGTCATCTCTCATATGTTACATCTGAGTCTTAAAAAGAAATCAGAAGTATAAAACAGGTACATTGAGGGTGGAAACAAGTGAGAGGGTAGAGGAAGAAAGAGAATGAGGGAAGATAAATTTGGCCAACGTACTTTACAAGCATGTATGAAAATAATGATCTAGGCACTGATGGCACATCTTATAATCCTAGTTATTCAGAAGGCTTGCACCTAGAGATTCATGGTTTGAAGCCAGCCTGGGCATACAAGTCCATGAGTCTCCATCTCTAACTAACCATAAAAAGGCCAGGCTAGAGGCATGGCTCAAGGGGCAAAGTGCCAGCTGTGAGCATGAAAGTCAAATAAGGTCAAGGCTCTACGTTAAAGAAATGTAGTAAGCCTGTTAAAAATGTTTAAAAGGGGCAGGAAAGAAGGATAAGTAACAGGAAAGGTAAATTTGACCAAAGTACGTATTATATGTATGTGCATTATGTACACTATGAATTTGTACAATATATGCTAATTTAAAAACTACTTTCTTGGGTCCCAACAATGGGATACATGGATCTAAGTATTCAAGATCATTTGAACAAATAGGAAGAGAAGTAATCCCCAAGGCCAGGTTTTCCAGATATTATGTGTTTATGAAATAGTCCATCATTTGGGTAATTCTTATAACTTTTATTAAAAATAGAAAATTTAATAAGCAAGCAAGCAATTTTGTTTACTTTTAGAAAAGTTAAATACTCTTTTAGAAAACTCTCTATATACAAAGATAACTGGAAATATATAAGTGGCTTTCTAAACTGTCCTTAACTCTATTAACAGGGATCAAGAGGAAACTAGGCATCAGGTTTGCACTAAACTGGAACTAAAATTCATACTTCTCAGAGACCTCTTGCCCTTTCAACATGCATGGGTTGTCACTGCTATCTGTCTTGAGGGAATTATGGGTTATCATCCCCATCATTCCTACTTACGTCCATCTCTAAAAGGGTCATCCATCCTCTCCTGCACTCTTCCTCACAAGGCCCTTTAACACTAACATGCATAACATTCATTTCCTAACTTTTCACCATGTCAGACATGCTTCCACTGTGCCTTCTAGAATTAGCCCTCCATCAGCAAGCCCCTTCCTCAGCCTCTTGTTTGAGTGCCCTCTAACATAACACACTCACAGAAACCTGTTACTCCTGAAACCTTACCACACACTGCTGTTTTCATCTTGTACATCTTCCTAGAAATGGAGGCTTCCCTTGCTGCTGCTGAACAATATTCTCCCTCCATTCTCCTGAGAAGTCCCTGTTCTTAATTTCATCTCTTCAATTCATATTTCTTCAAATCTCATCTCTTCAAATCACACAAATCCTCTCATATTGCCATCATCCCATGCCTTTGTTACCCTACTCTTTTTTGACTTACATGCCCTCAACACTTACCTTAATTCCTAGAAATTTCAATTTACACCTAAGTGGAAGCTTTCTTCCAGAACTAACCTCTCAGTTTCTGGAATATCTCCTCAACACATTTCTTACCATCTCTATCAATTCTTGATCTCAGCCTCTCCTGCCCATAGTCATATATTAGAGCTCAACATTAGATAGCCATACTCTCTGCATCTAATTAGGTCTATCTATCCTCTATTGAACCACAATCCTTTCAGCTCATTCACTCTAGATTCTAACTCTTAACATCCTTCAAACGCAGTAGCACTTCTAACCCACTAATCCATCTTCTTTCCACAGTGCCTTGATGTCTTCCCAGATGTCTTCTCAATCCTTACCCAGTATAATTTCTAGGTCCATCATTATCATCACTCTCCTATATAGTCCTCATTCTCCTATCTCATAATACATGCGTAATAAAAGTATTTACTGTATGCCCATACCTATACAACTAAATGTAGCCAGAGAAGTACATAAAATAAATGTGTTCACAACCTTTTTAACATTATGATTTACTACTTAATTATTGTTGTTTATTGTCACAAGTCTCTTTCCACTAGGATATAAGGTCTACTGGGGCAGGAATGCTTTTTACTTATTTATTCACTTAAATATCCCAATGACAAGAATAGTATCTGTTAAACAGTGAAATATGACAATATTTGTTCAATGGCTGAACAGAAATAACGGAGAAAATCAATGAAGTTTCCAAGAAATTGCCTCAGAACTAAAGGAGTTTCTAGAATTGACAGGGGCCCATCAAAATACATCAACTTGAAATTACAAAACACTAAGAATAAAGAGAATAGGATACAAGCTTTCAGAAGTAGGGGGAAAATATGCCACATATAAAGATTAAAAGTCCAAGTGTCCTCAGAATTCTCAACAACCACTCTGAAAGACAAAAGACAATGAAGAATGCCTTTTTTAAAAATCTGAAGCAAAATTATTGCAACCCAGAAATAGATATTCATCCAAAGTAGTAATTAAGTAAGAAGGAAAGACACTTTCAGGCCTCAAAGATCATGTAAAATGAACACTTTCCTCAAGAAGTTACTTAAGTTTAAATCAAAATAAAAGGAAGGAGTAAAGTAAGAAGGTAGGAGAGACTAGGAAAAGGAATCCCAACCCAAATCACAGGCAAAGTCCCCACATGCTTATGAAGGATGATTATATCCCTGAATGGAAAAGATGAGCCATTAGTTCAGAATGTGTTGAATCAGATGCTCTTAACATTTATCAAGATGGTCTTTTGAAAGAAATATGATATATCAAGAAACCCTGCCTTTAAGCTACAGTTTAAAACTGTGACTAAATTATTGAAAAACACAAAAATCAGACACATGATATGAAGAGAAAAAAACTGTAATATTAACTGCAGTGGAACAAATAGTTGTAAAGGAGATGAAAGGCAGCCCTAGAATGTAACACATCTCCCCAGTGAGCAGTGTGCAGAGCCCTGATGACATAAATAGATTAAATGTTAAGAGGCTATGGGAATGGGATATGTGCATGTGTATAGCAGAGACTCATCTGTCACAGAGGAATTTCAACAGAGATTGTTTAAAACCAAACAACCATGAAGTAATGCAAACACGTTACGTGGAGAGAGTGCATACCAGAGTCAGAAAAAGAACTGGGTAGAAATGGTCACAGAGAAGCCAAGAGTGGTGGCTTATGCCTGTAGTAAACTCTAGCTATTTGGGAGGGGGAGACTAGGAGGATTGCAGTTCATGGCCACCCCAAGCATAAACACAACTATCTCAATCAGTAGCTGAACGCAGTAACATACATCCTTTTTTTTTGGGGGGGGGGGTCCGGTCGTGGGGCTTGAACTCAGGGCCTGGGTGCTGTCCCTCAGCTCTTCAGCTCAAGGCTAGCGCTCTACCACTTGAGCCACAGCAATACTTCCATCTTTTTTCTTTTTGTTTATGTGGTGCTGAGGAATCGAACCCAGGGTCTCATGCATGCAAGGCAAGCGCTCTACCACTGAGCCACCTTCCCAGCCCCAGCATACATCTTTTATACTGGCTACATGGGAAGTATAAATAGGAACACTGCAGTCCAGGCCAAATTCTGGACACACATATACAACCTCATTTGAAAGAAATGATGACATAAGAATAAGGGCTATGACTAAAGAGGCATAACTCCTGCTTACGAGTAAGGACTAAGTTCAAGCCCTTGTATCAAGAGTGACAGAAACACACACACGAAGAGACACAGAGAGACAGACAAGGAAAAAGAGGGAGGACAGGAGGGTCAGACAGAAGATGGTCATCTTCACAAGATTTGGAGAACAAAATGACTCATTAAAGTGTGTGTACCTATAATGTTTTTTAAAAAAATAAAGACATAAAAATATGAATCATCTTTTTATCCTTAAAATCATACTAAAATTTAAATACATGTAGTAAATTTAAAATAATCTTATTGGTTTAAATTTTCCAATTTCTAATGCACATTTTAATATTTTACTATATAAACAACTAAAATTAATACCTCCATTGAGAAGAATATTTTACCTGTGATAGTAACTCTTCCTTTTCTCCAGCAAGTTTTCGTAGCCTTACATCTAAAACAAATGGAAAGGGCTTTAAACTAAATTTGTAATGGTGAAATCTGTGAACAACTAGATGTTCTTCCAAGTTCATACATAGCAAACATAATCTGATCATTACAAATCTGAACATGAAAAGAAACAATGGCCTTAATCATATTATAGAAGAGCATTTAATTATACTAAATATATTGCCATACACTGCTTTTCATCAGGGCAAAAAATACACTTGTTCCCAGAATAGAAACAAACTGAAGTACAAAAAGGAACCATTTACTTGTTTCAAAAACTGACGAGCTTTCATCGGGATCTAGACAACTCAAACGCCTATGGCGTTGAAGGCTTAAGCCTATAGCAAGAGAGAGAACCAACTATGGGAGAGGTGATGATGTGAGAGTGGGACTGTGAGGCAAGCCTGAGGAAAGGTAGCAGAGGAGCACAATGGTGGAAGAAAGCAAAGCCCCACAAAAACTGGTGGGCAGAGGGAAGGACACACTCTCTTAAGATGGGACACCCTACGGCAAGTCTGAGACTGGGATGCAGTCACCAGGGCCCACCTACAGCTGGTATACAGGATTGCTTTCCCCCCTCTGGAGATGAGGAAAGACTTGTAGTTTATTTGAACCTGGTCAACCTGGTGATAGCCTATGTTCTGATTTCCTCAGCCCTCCAGTCAGGTAGGCAGACATTTGAGCTGTCTGTTGCCATCGATACCTTCAACTCTCTATCTCTTCCCTCTTGCTCATGGGCTACCTTTCTCTGCCTTATCAACCTGCTCTACAATTGATTAAATTTCTGGAATCCTGTACATTACAGGATATGCTTAACTTTTTTTTTTTTGGGCGGGGGTCAGTCGTGGAGCTTGAATTCTGGGCCTGGCCAGTGTCCCTCAGCTCTTCAGCTTAAGGCTAGCACTTGAACCACAGTGCCACTTACGGTTTTCTGGTGGTTAATTAGAGGTTGGTTAATTGGACTTTCCTGCCCGGGCTGGCTTTGAACCATGATCCTCAGATCTCAGCATCCTGAGTAGCTATGATTATAGGCGTATGCCACCAGTACCCAGCTTAACTAACTTTTAAAATGCTTTCAACTGTGCTACTGTACCTTAACAGTACCTCCCATTCCTGCAGAAAACCTGTGAATAACTAAAATAAGATGATGGAAAAGGGGAAAAAAGGCTTTCCCCCCAATAAATGAAAGTAAGCTCATAGTACACTATCTATCTAAGCTATTTTTCATCCTCTAGAGTAGGATTCTTAGTAGGTGTAATGAACAGGTCTTTGTGTTTTCCTGGAGAGACATGTCATTAGATTCTTGAAGAAATCACATTTTTTTGTTTTTGTTCCAGTACTGAGGCTTGAATTCGGGGCCTAGGTGCTGCTCCTGAGCTTTTCTGATCAATGCTAGCACTCTACCACTTGAGCCATAGTTACTCCAGCTTTTTTGGTGGTTAGTAGGAGATAAGAGTCTCATGGACTCTCCTGCCTGAGCTGGCTACAAACAGTGATCTGATCTCAGCCTCCTGAGTAGTTAGGATTACAAATGTGAGCCAGCAGCACCCAGCAAAGGATCACACTTCAGAGGCTTAGGTTTTAAGAGGCTTGAAAACCCTGATTTACATGTCATGTCTTCTAATACCTGTCTTCTCAATGATCTATTTCTGCAGTAGAGCCAGACTGGCTCTACATGCCTGTAATCCTAGTTACTAAGGAGGCTGAGATCAGAGGATTATGGTTCAAAGACAGCCCTGGCAAGAAAGTTATGAGACTCTTATCTCACCACTAGACTCTTATTAACCACCAGAAAACCAGAAATGGAGCTGTAGCTCAAAGTGGTAGAGTATTAGCCTTGAGCAAAAGAATTCAGGGACAATTGACCTGACCCTGAGTTCAAGTACCAGGATGAGGAGGGAAGAAGGGAGGGAGGGAGGGAGGGAGGGAGGAAGGAAGGAAGGAAGGAAGGAAGGAAGGAAGGAAGGAAGGAAGGAAGGAAGGAAGGAAAACTAAAACTAAAGGAAGGGTGGATGGTAGGCAAAAGGCTGAACAACTAAACAGTAGAACACAAAACCAGATGTTCCAGGAAGAAAACAGTAGAACACAAAACCAGATGTTCCAGGAAGAAGAAACGAAAAACATACTGATAAGTCTCCTGCCCACCCAATGTCCTTGCAATTCGCATGCTGACTCTGCTTTAAATGAAAGGTAATGTGTTTTTATCTGGGGCGCTTCTATCCAGGGGCTTTTGTGGCTAAACTAAAACCTGACAATGACTTAAATGCTAGTTTCCCAAGGTCAAGAATCTCTATTAGAAATGTCCAGATTCTGATCCTGTTAGAGGATCTAGACAAGTCTCAAATGGGATATGAACAAGCTAGAAGCATAACAACATTAATCCAAAACAAAGCAAAAACAGTATCTTACCTAGTGGTCCTTCTCCTGCTGATTCCAAGACCTGTGCAGCTTCCTGAGAAACAACAGCAATGGCTCCAACCATGGGTTCATGATTAACATCACCATTGGGAGTACCATCAGGGATTATAACTAAGCCATGTTTCTGTGGGGAAGAAAACAATCATCAGCAAAGATGGTCCACACTGAAGCAGCAAGCTCTGAGAGATAACGCTGTAAGAATGTATGAGTGGCATAGGTAAAACCTAGTTAGAATTAGTTACATGGATTATGCCTCTGTACAGGAAATGATTTATTCCTCTAAATTGAAATTGCTTTTGCATTCAGGTGAACAAAGATATTGGGAAGGAGGGAAAGAAAACAGCATAGCAGTGAGAGCCGGAGCCCTAGGCCCGAGTTAAACATACCTCTGTTGTATTCGCTGTCTTCTGCAAGTCAGCAAGCTCCTCTCTAAGCACATCTCGCTCATTCCTAAGGCAGGCAATATGTTCTCTCTGTTTCTCTAGGGCCTGGTTTTAGGCAAGGTAGCAATGGAAAGAATAGCATAGATAAAGAGCAAGTGAAAGGTAACTAATTCAAATAAGCAAAGTTAAAGGCCTATGAAGCAAAAGAGCAGTTAAGGAGTTTGGGAACAAGCAGACAGAGGAAGAATAGTGTCCAGATACAAAGTTTCCACAGAGTACTAGTAGAAACTAGTTCTCATGCATAAATTTGGCAAAACATGCTTCTCACATCAAACATCAAAACAAATCTTTCTTTTACAGTCAATGGTCAAGAAAACAAGAAACAGAAGATGAAGACAGCAGCACAAGTTAAATTTTCCTTACTGACCTCCTCGGTACATTTTCATTTGGTAAAGTAATACTTCTTATGTTTAATTAAAACAGTTTATATTTTTTTAAAATACTGTTTTTTTAAACTAAAAAAAATGGCTTGAAAAACCATTTGTATATGTAACTTATTTTACTTAAAAAATTAGCCATGTGATCTTTATGACAAAACATTCAAAAGGATTCTAAAAGATCTTTTTTTCTGTTAATTTAACAAGTACAAATAAGACTCACTGGTTTTCTGAATACTTTCAAAATATAAAAAACAAGGCTGGCAGTGGTGGCTCATGCCTGTAATCCTAGCTACTCAGGAGGCTGAAATCTGATGATAACGATGCAAAGCTAGCCCAGCCAGAAAAGTCTGAGACTCTTATCTCCAATAAACCACTAGAAAACCAGAAGTGGCACTGTGGTTCAAGATAGAGCACTCTCCTTGAGCTGAAGAGTGCAGGGACAACAGGCTACCCAGGTCCAGAGTTCAAGTCCCATGACCAACAAAAAACAAAAACCAAAAAAAACAGGGACAGTGTCTAGGCCCTGAGTTCAAGCCCCACAACCAACCAAAAAACATTATTAAAAAAAAAAAAACAATGTATAGCAGGGTAGGAGTTTCAAAATCAAGCTTAGAGGTTCTGGCACATACCTAAGCCTCAATCTTCTCATGTGAAATTAAGAAGGGACAATTGCAGTTCCCACACCCCCCAGGTGGAGGCTCAGTGGCAGTATCAGAGGTTCAGGAAAAGCAGTCTTATGTCTTTACTGAGCATTTCCCACTTTTTCTTAAATCATAACTGTCAACTTGGGAGGATAGTGCAGAAGCAGGAACATAGTTACATTATGTAATAAAATAAATCAAACTTTAAAGCACTACTACAATAAGTAGTATGTACCAGTTGAGCTACTTAAAAAAGGCTTTCTCTATATACTGTTTCTCTACATATTTTTTCTCTACATATTTTTCTAACAGCATTCCCATTTGTGAACTCTGAAAGTGGGTCAACTGCTTAGTTATTGATGGCCACATATTGGGCAACTTTAAAATTTCATTACAATCCTATTTTGCAACCAAATTGTTAATAAGCAATGGTCAGCACCACACAATGGTAGCCACTACCATTACATATCAGAACAAAAGTTACTAATTTATATAATTTCCCCATTATACATTATTTTATATGTAAAATGTCTCCCTTACATATTCTGAAACATACTATTTGTCTTAGCCTCATTTTAAAGATCAGAAAATTAAGGCCCACAGAGGGGTGGTTTATTTTATTTTTGTCCAAATCACAATAAGTAGCAAGGCCTGAAAATGAGTATCACAACCTAGACAGCATTCTGTTCATGTAATGTCTGAAAAAGAAGTCTATAGAGTAAGTCTTCTCTTTACTTATCCAAATTGCAGTGTCAATATCTAATTTCCTTTCCACAAACTTTGGAAATTCAAAAGAAGTGGTGTGTCTCAAGTTAGTCTGCAAATTAATCACTTTGAGTTTCTAGCACCACAGGGCCTATAACGCTTGAAGCTAGTACTGACATTCTATTTCATTAATAACAAATGAAACATTAAAAGAATTAAGAATTTGCAAGCAACACCATCCCTTTAACTGATGTTGGGTTAGAAATCTTGGTTACAGGTATATCTACATGCATACATGTGCCATGCATCACGACATATAACTGAGTGATCACCTTTACAACATGCTCCACAGGAATACTAATAAACAGAAAAGACCTCTTAGGAACAGACCAATTTGAAACTAGGAATTCTAGCAAATGTTTGACATTTGCTCCACATTCCACATTTATAGTACTAGGTTTTATTTTTCTTTCAGTTTTTAATTTTATCTTCTCACAATTATATATGGGAAAATAAAATACATCTTTTATATTTTCCCATTTGACCAAAAACTTCAGAAACTACTGAAATACCTTATATTTAAACCAAATATAGTCATGCTGAATCTGAAATCCTCTGTATTACCTGACCATATAATCACCATCCTTGGGTTTCCATATACCAATAATTGTTTCCACAGATTTTTTTTAGAGTAAAAGTATACATTTGTAGAAATATAAACAATTCCTTTTTCCTGAGCTAACCTCAAATTGTACAATCAAGAAGCCAAATACGGCTGGGCATGGTGGCTCACCCCTGTTACCCTAGTAAGAAGCAGATTTCAGAAGGATCAGGGCTGTTCTCAAGAACAGATAAAAAGTTTCTAAGACCTCCTCCCCACCATAAAGCTGGACTCAGTAGCACAATTCTGTCAAGAAACACCAAGCATAAATACCAGACCATATTTTAAAAAATAACTAAAGCAAAAAAAAAAAAAAGGTAAAGCAAAAGGGCTGGGAAGATAGTTCAAATAGAGTACCTGCCTAGCAAGTACAAGGCTGAGTTCAAATCCCATACTGCTTCCCTACCAATACAAAGCCAAACATATTAATGGCTGAACTACTGGGCTGAACTTTTGAGTAACAGATGCAATTGCACTATAGCATAAACAGATCTAGCCAGAATGGAGATCTTGGCCTTTGTATATACCTATGTTACACATGGGCACTTGAGAAGAATAGCAGTGGAACCAAAAGTAAAATGACTAATCTCAATGAAAAAGAATGGGAAAAAACTTCTACCTGGGTAATATTGACATGTTTCTTCATTAAGTTACTAATATAATTCTTGAAAATGAAGCTTGTGATACATTAGGTATCTCTCGACTTAAAAGTCGAGAGAAGGGCTGGGAACATAGCTTAGTGGTAGAGTGCTTGCCTAGCATGCATGAAGCCCTGAGCTCAATTCCTCAATTCCACATAAACAGAAAAGGCCAGAAGTGGCACTGTGGCTCCAGTAGTAGAGTGCTAGCCTTGAACACAGAGAATCAGGGATAGTAGTCAGGCCCTGAGTTCAAGCCCCAGGATTGGCAAAAAACAACAAAAATCAAGAGCCACTACCAGATATTGGGGCACTTTTCTGTAATCACAGCACTTGGGAGGTGGAGGCAGGAGGATTTAACTTGACCTATGCTAAAAAGCAAGATCTTGACTCAAAAAAAAAAAAGGACATTCAGTCTGTCATATGCTGCACAAAAAAAGAAATACTGTTTGATTCCATTAATATCAGATACCTAGAATAATTAGACACATCGATTTAGACAGAAGAAAGAAGGCTGCTGGAGTAGGAAATAAGGTGGGTAACATGTTCAGTGGGTATAGAGTATTAACTAGAAATGAAAACATCCTAAGATGGATGGTGATGGTAACAGGTAGTACAGCAATGGGAACTGACTTAACTCCATTAACTTTGCCCTTAAAATAGCTACAATAACGAACTGTATTTGTATTTTAACTTTATTGTGTATGTGCTGGTCCAGGAGTTTGAACTCAAGGGCCTGGGATCATCCCTGAGCTTTTTTCCCCCTCCCTCAAGATTAGTGCTCTACCAACTTGAGCCACAGTTATACTTCTAGCTTTTGGGTGGAGACTTTCCTTTCCTAGGCTGGTTGCAAACTAAGATCCTCAGATATCAACCTTCTGAATTGCTAGAATTACAGTCATGAGCCACAGATTCTTGGCTATAACATTTTTTAAATGGCAAAATTATAAAACCAGACTAGTATGGTTGGACATGTTATCTTATGCTTACAATATTAGCTACTCATGGGCTGGGAAGGTAGCTCAGTGGTAGAGCGCTTGCCTTGCATGCATGAGGCCCTGGGTTCAATTCCTCAGCACCACATAAGCAGAAAAAGCCAGAAGTGGCGCTGTGGCTCAAGTGCCTAGAGCACTAGCCTTGAGCTGAAGAGCTGAGGGACAGTGTCCAGGCCCAGAGCTCAGGCCCCACAACTGGCAAAAAAAAAAAAAAAAAATTAGCTACTCAGGATGCTGAGATTAGGAAGATTACAGTTAAACTTAACCTAGGCAAAAAGTTCTTTTTTTTTTTTTTGGGTCCGGTCGTGAGGCCTGAACTCTGGGCCTGGGCACTATCCCTCAGCTCTTCAGCTCAAGGCTAGCGCTCTACCACCTTGAGCCACAGCGCCACTTCCGGCTTTTTTTCTTTTTGCTTATGTGGTGCTGAGGAATCGAACCCAGGGCTTCAGGCATGCAAGGCAAGCGCTCTACCACTGAGCCACCCTCCCAGCCCATAGGCAAAAAATTCTTGAACTCCCATCTTAAGCAAAAAGACTGAGTGTAGTGGTATTCTCCGTCATTTCAGACACAGGAAGCATAAACAGGGTGATCATGTCATCTAAACCAGCTGGGGTATAAATGTGAGATGACCAACTAAAAAGGGCAAGGGCTGTGATTCAATTGGGGAAATGCCTGAGTTGAAACTTTATGCCACCAGAGAGAGTAAAGAGGAAGAGGGAAAGATGAGAGAGGGAAAGGGATGGACAGAGGAGGAAGGGGAGGGGAGGGGAACAGATAAGGATGGAGGGAGGAGAAAGAGGAGGAGGGGGAAGAGAGTAAGGAGAAAGGGAGGGGGGAGAAGAAAGAGGGAAAAAGAAGGGGGAAGGAGAGAAAGGGGAGAATGGAGAGAAAGGAGGGAAGGAGAAGCGAGGGAAGAGAGAGAAAGGAGGAAGGAAGGGAAGGAGGGAGGAGAGAGGATTAGAGACGGGGAGAGGGAGGAGACAGGGGGATGGGGAAAAATTCCTTATGGTGATAGAAATGTTCTATATATTGACTGTATCACATACAGCATGTACAGTGTCCTGGTTTAATACATTTACAACTAGGCTAAGACAATCCGTTTGAAATATAGAGACAACTATACAAATTAGATATCCTGGACCCACAGATTTGTGCCGAGGGAAATTATCTAAGGTCTTAAAAAAAGCTCATTCTAGATAGTGATTAAATTTTTAACTATACATTGCTTATTTCATTGGACACATTTTTCATTTTAAGATTTCCAAGTAAAAAAATCGAATAAAACCAGTAATTCACAATTATGATTAAAAGACTTAATGAAGTTGTTAAATTATCTCCCAGAGAGAAGCATCAGAAAATTATGCAAAATTACCTTTGGTTCTTTAATTTTTTGGTCTATCTTGGAAGCAATGGGATCTCCTGACATTTTAGTAATTGGGGTTTATAGGATAGAAAATATTAGAGCTAGGTGCCAGTGGCTCACACCTGTAATCCTAGCTACTCAGGAGGCTGAGATCTGAGGACCATGGTTCAAAGCCAGGAAAGTCCATGAGACTCTTATCTCCAATAAACTACCAGAAAACCAGAAGTAGTGCTGTGGCTCAAGTGGTAGAGCGCTAGCTTTGAGCTGAAGAGCTGAGGGCCAGTGCCCAGGCCCAGAGTTCAAGCCTCATGACCGACTAAATAAATAAAATAAATAAATAAGGTAATAGACATTGCTGACAGCATGGGCTTTGCAACATTGCTTATACTGGAGGATATGACTTAGGGTTCACATTCAGCCATCTATCTCTCACAGGTGGTCTGAGGGAGCTTTGCCTGTAATTCTCTACTCCACACAACATTGAACCAAATAAGCCACACCCCTTCCCTGATAGTGTCTTGGTAGCTTCATCTGAGTGGTTCCCCTACTATGGAAAAGAGCTCATGCCAAGAGAAGGGACTGCCAGCCACAGGCCACTTAAGTTGAATTGGTGGATATTTTTCAGCTTCCAGTTTACTTGGAATCTACCTGCAAGGCTAAGCAAAATAGCAATAGAATTTGTCCTTATCTAGGCCCCTGATTTGAGTAGTCTGGAGTTGTAATTAGATTACAAAACAGTTTGGAAACTTAGTAGTCTTCCTTTCCTAACCTCTTCCATAATTAACTGATTTTTAATCCCTTCACCAAGGATTCTCAGGATGCTAATAACACTTTCTCCATCTCTATATTCATAATTTTCTTGCTTTTTATCCAAATTCTTATAAGAATATCAAACCCAAAGAGTTTGAATTAAATGCCTGAAGCTGCTTTTTTAAGTCAATGTCATAAAGAAAAAACAACTTCTTTTAAAAGTTCCTACTTGTAGGTTTCACAAGCCCTGTCAGATAGAAAGAAAAACTATTTCCCAGCATGATGTCTGGTTTTCCCATCAAAGTATCTTTGCTTTTGGTCATATTTACACTGTATACTCAAGAACAAATTTTGGGGAATCTGTGAGTCAAATTTTATTGGTCTATTCCTTATTCCTCATTAATAAGCTTCAAACAAAAGCTCAATTTATCTCATACCCCAATTTTTTTATCTTTCCAAAGAAGTGTCTCCTGGAGGTCAAACACCTCTTTTGTCATGGTGTCTATTTTCTGCTGCATATGCTGATTCTCCTGCAGAAGATGGGAGGAAAAGTAATTGAAAGCAAAAGAAAACAGGGAGGAAGTTAGAGGGAGGAAAACAGAGCAAAAATAAAGGTGATAAACTCTTAAAAAAAGGAAAAATCATTGACAAACAGAAAGGATAAGAGTGGTATGCTAAAGGAAAGATATTATCTATTTGAATCTTCTTCACTTGCCCCAGCATAAAAGTAGTCAAAGGTGGAAGGTGGGCCAGGAGACATGGTACATTTGCAGAATGTGTGCTAGGTATATGAAAGGCCTTGAGTTTGATCCTCAGCATCACAACAAAATTATAAAAAAAAAACAAAAACTAAAAAGGAGGTAAGAGAGGAGGGGAAGAAAGGGAGAAAGGGAGGAGTGGAAGGGAGGAGAGGGCAGGGCAGAAAGTTGGGAATAAATGATTGCTCCAATCACAGTTATGTGGCAACAAGGCAGCCAGATAACTTTGTTTTCTTTCCTTTTTATGTCTGAGACCAGGTCTTGAATTAGGTACCTGAAACTTCTGCTCACTGGCGGAACCTTGTCTCCAACCCAATGGTTGATTTTTTTTTCTTTTTAAATATATAAACAAATGATCTTTTACCACAGTGAAGTAGTAATAGTTTTTATTTTATTTCTCTAAATCAGAAATAAAATAGATACAGCTCAGCTTGAGAACTTTTGATTTTGTTAACAGAAGCAAGAACATCATGAATTATAAAGGAAACATCACTTTTTAGAAAAAACAGAACTTAACTTTCAGTAATTCTCAACTCTTCTGATGAAGTAATGCTGATTAATTTATACCTGTGTATTAGGTTCCCTCCCAATACATTACTTTGTCTGCCTTCCCACACAAATCTTCTAGAGACCAAAAGCATTACTTGTCATACTCAAGGTTTTACAGATAATAACATCTGAAAAGATATTTGTTGCAAATTCAGGCCAAAAAGGGCCTAAAACCATAGAAACCACAGTGACAAATTATAGAAAACAGGGCTGGGAATGTGGCTTAGTGGCAGAGTGCTTGCCTAGCCTGCATGAAGCCCTGGGTTCAATTCCTCCGTACCACATAAACATAAATAGCCAGAAGTGGTACTATGGCTCAAATGGTAGAGTGCTAGCCTTGAGCACAGAGAGGCTCAGGCACAGGCCATGCCCCAGGATTGGCAAAAAAGAAAAATAAATTATAGAAAACAACATTATTATCCTCTAAATGTAATATGCAATTAAAAACAGCTAACCAGCTTGAAATAAGCTATTGAATTTGAGAAGCAGCTCCCAGAGCATTTTTATTATTTTTGAAATCATAAAAGTGGGAAGGTATATACCTTAATTCTGATTGGAAATTGACACAAAAAAGATTAAAGGACAAAAAAAAGTATTTCACATTGTTATTAAATAGCAACAGAATACAGAATTTATCTGGATAATATGCTCCCAAACAACATGCAAAAACTAGAACTAATTCATTTATAATCTCACAAATCCATAATCTTATCTACGTCTGCATTTAGAATCCACAAGTTGTAGCTATATTCCTTTTAAAAATGGCACAAATGGTTGGGCATGGTATAGTTCATGCCTGTTATCTTAGCTACTCAGTAGTTCCAAACCAATTCAGGCAAGATGTTTACAAGACCCCATATTTCAACAATAAAGTATGGGTATAGTGGTACACATCTGTTACCCCAGCTACACTAGAAATATAAATAGGAAGATCATGGTACAGGTCCAACTGAAATATATAAAATAAAGCAAAAAGGGTTGAAGGCATGACTCACATGATACAGCACCTGCTTAGAAAGCACAGGCTGAGTTCAAACCTTAGTACTGCCAAAAAAACAAAGAGGAAGAAAAAGAGGATAAAAATCCACAAAAGAAGATGGCCTTCTATTTCTTTTCCTCTACTAAGTAATTCTCAAAGTCATTTACAGGCACAGATTAAGGAAAGTCTGAGGGGAAAGAAAGAAAGAGGAAGAGAAGGGAATGGGAAGGAGAGAAGGAAAGCCAAGAGTCTGAATCACCAGAAATGAGAACAAGTGTAGTAAGTGTGGTACGTCTCCTGGATCATTAAGAGCTGATCTTCCTGATATTACTAACCTATAATCAACATTAAATACTGGGCAGGACACCCCTGGACCTCTTATCTATAAAACACTTCAAGAGGAAAAGTCACATTTAAAGAACACATACACAGAAAGTGGTAAGTCTGAAAGGACAAGTGTTTTCAAAGTTCTTACTGGACTGTGCCTCTACCTACTAAGATGTTGCCAATATTGTCCCTCATGGAGTTCCTCCATAGTAGAAACTTGCAACTTCTATATACAAGGGATGGACCTGGACAATTTCTTCTTTTATAGATTAGCTACCTCAGAAATGTTTCTTTTTTGGAAGAATGTGTGTGTGTACGTGTGTGCATGCATGTGTTTATACCAGTATCACAGTTTTAACTCAGGATCTCTCCCTTGACTTCAGAAATGTTTTTGCCTGAGAAGATCAGAATTCTTACTTCTCCAGAATTCTCCCCAAAAATAGAATTCATTAGGTTCTGAAGAATGCTTTTCTGGCATTTTCCATTTGTCTACATTTTAAGATTTCTTTCAGAAAGAGTGGGCTTATTTCTACTATTAAAGGAAGAACTGTTCATAGGGTTATAAGTATAAATTTTTATTTTTATTTTATTTATTCATTTATTTTTTTGTCGGTTGTGGGGCCTGAACTCTGGGCCTGGGTGCTATCCTTCAGCTGTTTAGCTCAAGGCAAGCGCTCTACCACTTGAGCCACAGCACCACTTCTGGCTTTGTATAAGTATAAATTTTTAAAATCTGACTTTAGATTTGTTGGAAAAATTTTAGGAGGCAGCCAAATGTGAACATAAGCAATCTCTTTGCAGCACTTTAGCTTTCTTCTCCTAAGACATATGCCTTCATCCTATCCAACTAATTTATTTTCAGAACTAAGTATTCCTTCAGTTCACATACCTCAATAAGTTCGTCTCTTTGCCGAAGGCCTTCTTTAAGTTCATCCATCTTGTGCTGCAGCACACTACACATGTGTTTCTGCCTTTCCAACTCCTGTTAAAGAAATGACATCTTTTACACAGTTCACAGCATACAACAAATTTGAGTATTTGCAATAAAACACAGAGATCAAGAATGACTTTCAGAAATATGCCGAGACTGCTGACTTAGAATAACCTAAAACTAAACATCCAATAGGAAGATTAAAAAACTTTATATAAAGTTTTCATAGGGAACCAGTGGCTCATGCCTGTAATCCTACCTACGTAGGAGGCTAAGATCTGAGATCACAGCTCAAAGCCAGCCTGGGCAAGAAAGTCTGTGGGACTCTTATCTCCAATAAATGACCAGAAAACCAGAAGTAGTGCTGTGGTTCAAGTGGTAGAGCATTCACCTTGAGCTGAAGAGCTGAGGGACAGCACTCAGGCCCAGAGTTCAAGCCTCATGACCAAAAACAAAACAAAAAAGCTTTAAAGGTTTCATCTCATATGGTGAAGATAAGTAACAGCAAGGGAAGGGAAAACAAACTCTACAGGCATTTAAAAAAAAAAAAAAGAGTAGCCAAAGAGTATGGGGAGGTATTTGAAATGACTCAAAACTCTACAAGCAAGACAAAGAATTGAGGCAATAGTTAAACTACATAAAAATTAAAGCTTTTGAATAGCAAAAGACAGCACAAAGTAAAAATAGAGATGACAATTTGCAAAAAGTTTAAATTTATTTTCATAAACAAAAGGTCACTACTTATCCATATAGAGAATCCTTTAAAATTGGAAACAAAATGTGCTACATGAAAAAACCACCTAAAGAAATAGACAGTTAACAGAAAAATGTAATGAAAAATGTAATGGTTACTTGCAAGGTAGGATCTTGTTTTATGCCTGGGCCAGCCTGAGCTATGTGCTCAGCACTGTGCTTTGCTGTGTTGCTGGGAATGACAGCTATGAACTACTGCACATAACCATTGTGCCTCTCCAGTATCTGAAAACATAGGCACATGAGACCACGATTGGCCACTGGTTGAGAAGGAATCTCATAAACTTTTAAGTACAGTTTGGCCTTGAACTGTGATACTCCCATATCCACCTGCCAAGTACTAGAATTTATTGTTAAAAGTACTTTTAAGGGGGAAGGGAAAAAACAAATCGTTTAAATAGGGATACAGGTAGACCCATTGCAACAATAAGACATACAAGTCGTATGTTGAAAATGAACTTTACAACTTTGGTGGGGGGAGGGGGGAGGAGGGTTGGGTGGGGGAGGATGGAAACAAAGGAGGAGGCTACAATGCTTGATAAGAAATGTACTCATTATCTTGCCCATGTAATTGTAACCCCTCTGTACAGTATTTTCACAATAAAAAAACAATAAAAAACAAATTATTTTAATGTTTATGAATTGAAATTAGAACAACAAAGCGTCCACAAGATGACAGTGATTAACTATGCAGTGGTTAAAAGAAATGACAAAAGGGGCTGGGATGGTGGCTCAGTAGTAGAGCGCTTGCCTTCCATGCATTAGGCCCTGGGTTCAATTCCTCAGTACCACATAAGCAAAAAGAAAAAAGCTGGAAGTGATGCTGTGGCTCAAGTGGTAGAGTGCTAGCCTTGAGCTGAAGAGCTGAGAGACAGTGCCCAGGCCCAGAGTTCAGGCCCCACGACTGGGTGCTGTGGCTCAAATGAAAGAACACTTGCCTTAAGTGAAACCAGCTCAGGGACAGCACCAAACCCTGAGTTCAAGCCCCAGGACTACTATTTTCTAAGAAAGGAGAGCTATAAATACTATAGATGTACATTAAGTGCTCTCTACATGTTAATTAAGATGGCTAATACATCTTCTTAGATTTAAAATATAGAAAAAAAATATAGCCAGATCCACAGAAATAAAGGCTGCATGGTTTCCCTCATTTGTGGTAGATGAAATGTACCTATACACTAAAACGTTAGGCGGTAATCAAATTGTTACAAATGAATTAACTGAATTATAATAGACTATGGAAAGCTCAAATAGTATCATCCTTTAGAAGGACTAGGTTAAAGCTCAACCAAATCAACATCAAGAAATGAGTAGATCCAAGAAGGGGAGTGGGGACAAGGAGAGAGGGACAGATAAATGAAGGGAAGAGGTGGGGAAGAATTCAGTCTAGAGTTCACAAAATTGAGAAAAGTAATGGAAGTAGTGGATCAAAGGAGTGTGAGAATATTGAAGGGGGTGACATTGATCAATATGTACTATATTCATAAACTGCTTTGGTAAATGACATCTTTGTACAACTAAAAGATCATTTTCTAGAAGAAAGGAAGAAATAAGGATTTTTCATATCTTTCTCTGCTGATTTAAGATCTACCTATTTTACATAATTTTAAGACAAAGTTAGATTTTAAAACAAATCTAATGTCTATCAAAAGAAAGAGCTGGGTGCCAGTGGCTCACGCCTGCAATCCTAACTACTTAGGAAGTTGAGGATCGCTGTTCAAAACCAGCCTGGGCAGGAAAGTCTGTGAGACTCTTATCTCCAATTAACCATCAGAAAAACAAATGTGGTGCTGTGGCTCAAAGTGGTAGAGCACTCGCCTTGAGCTGAAGAGCTGAGGGACAGTGCGCAGGTCCAGAGTTCAAGTCCCACAACAACAACAACAACAAAAAGGCCTCTTGAGTGAGTTCAAGTCCAGCTAGGGCTATAGAATGAGAACCTACATTTAAAATAAAATTTAAAAAAAAAGAATGGAGTGCAGAGTATGATGGTACACACCTATAATCCTAGCTCTCTGAAGACTAAAGCCCAAGTGAGATACAGAACAAGAGACTCTCAACAAAACAAATAGCCATGTGGCTTATACCTGTGATCCTAGCTATTTGGGAAGTTGAGATGAAAAAGATTTTGGGTTAAAACCAGCCTGGGCATACATTTGAGACACTTCTTCAACCCATGTCTGTGCACATTGGTGCAAATCTATCATTCCAGTTACAAAGGAAGCTGAGAGGGAGACAATCATGGTTCCAGGCCAACCTGAGCAGAAACGTCTGTGAGATTCTATCTCAGTGGAAGAAGCTGGCCATGTCATCCCAGCTACTGCAGGAAGTATAAAATAGTCAGATCATTATCCAAACACGGGCCTTGGCAAAAAGCTAGATCTTATCTCAAAACAACCACTGCAAAAGGGCTTGAAAAAGAACCACTGTAAAAAGGGCTGGCTCAGCAATGGAGCACCACCTAACATGCCCAACAAGCCCTAAACTAAAACAAGGAAAAAATAGTGAAGAAAATGGAGTATTGTATATTGAAATATTATTCAGCCTTAGACAGGAAAGAATTCTTGTCACATGCTTCCCCGTGGATGACCATGCTTAAGGATATTATGCTAAGTAACATGAGCCAGTGACAAAATGACAAATATTATGTAATTCTACTTAGTAAGTATGTGTAGTAGACAAATTCAGACAAAAAGTAGAATATCTAGAACAGGGTACTGGGAAGAAGGAAAGAGACAAATAGTGAACATTTTAATAGAAACTAGTTTTTCATTTTGTTTTAGTTTTTTGGTCCCAGTCCTAGGGCTTCAATTCAGGGCCTGGGTACCGTCCTTGAGCTTCTTTGCTCAAGACTTGTGCTATGCCACATGAGCAACAGTTCCACTTCCAGCTTTTCGGTGGTAAATTGGAGATTAAGAGTCTCATGGACTTTCCTGCCTGGGCTGGCTTTGAACTATGATCCTCACATCTCATTCTCCTTAGTACCTAGGATTATAGGCATACATCACCAGTGCACAGCTTAAAGCTTCGTTTTGCAAAATAAAAAGTTCTAGAGATTTGATGCAAAATAACACAAAGACACAGATTATCACTACTGAACTGTTCCCTTTAAAATGTAAATTTTATATTGTACAATTTTTACCACAATAAAAAATAAAAACAAAAAATTTTAAAAGTAATTCCTACATATTGGAGATAAAATGCAGTGAAGCTAGCTATATATCCAGTTAGTGGCATAAACACAAAGAAACTATTTCAAGTAACTTTTTTAAACAATAGTTTGGCTATACAGAGCCAGTGGTGAAAGAAAAAAATAAGCCTAACCAAACCCTTTCAACTATGTTCAGTAATTATATCGATGCCAATCCTGGTATTGTTATTTTAAGTGCTGTAGAAAAAAGCAGTGAGAATAGAATGTAATTGCTATCATCCCTACTGACTCTGAGAACTAAGAATTATAGTGTGGGAAAAAAGATACAGATTTAACACAGAGGAGGTTAAGTAAAATCCCTAGAGTCCTAACAGGAACTGCAACTATCATAATACTTTGTCATTAAAAATGTGTTTCCTAGGTATATCCACTGAAAAGATCTATAACATGACCAACTCAGCAACAAAGAACATCCCTGGCACACACAATGCCTTACTAAGAGAAAGGGCTTCCTTGTACAAATAACCAATTAAAGGTCTGAAGCAGAAAATTTCCTTCTATAAGAAAGCTATTAATTACTGGTTCAAAATAATTGAGAACCATCCTAAAGAGGCTCAAATTTGACAGATATGAGACAATTTAAGCATTAAAAATGCACTGAACCTGTGGGTTGGGATGAAAGAGGGAAACTGAGGGAGAACAACAGAAGGTATGGCATTGATCAAGATGCACTGTACTCATTACCTGACACATGGATTCAAACATTTGGTGTTTCAGCACATTTTAAAAATTATTACTACTAAGTAGTTGTACAAAGAGGCTACAATTCCATGTATGTATAAGAGAATAAAATAATTAGTCATTATGAAAGGATACTAAACAACTCCTTATTTTGAAACTTAAAATCAAAGAATCAAGTCTTTATTTTGCCTTTTCTATGTAAACTATGTGAGTAATAAGAGATGAGGAAGTTTCTCAATAAAGATGGACTAAAAAAAACAAAGCATAGGAAGGTAAGAAAGACAACCTAGAAGATGGAAAAATATTGTAAATTATGTATTTAATAAAGGACTTACATATAGAATATATAAAGTCTTACTACTCAATAATGAAAACAAATAATCCAATTAATAATAGGCAAAAGATCCAAATAGATGTTGCACAAATTTTACCCAAAAGCCCAAAAGATACTCAAAATCATTAGTTTATCAGTAAGATGCAAATCAAAACCACATCCACTAGAATGAGTAGAATTAAGTGTGGAGAAATCAAGAACCCACATACACTACTAGTAACAAAGTTAAACATGTGACCTAAACACAATCTAAACCTTAAACATCTGACCTAAACCTAACATGTGTTAAATATATGAACTTGTAACAAGTACATACTTAAGAAAAAGGACAACACTGTATATTAAAAAATTGTGCACCTGTTTACGGCAATATTCATAGTAGCCAAAAGGAAGACATAAACCAGATGCCCATCAGTACAAATATAGAGATCTAAACCATAGCATATTAATACATTACAAGAGGGAATGTAGTACTGATAGTGCGAGCATATTATGAACCTTGAAATCACTACGTTAAGTGAAACACAGTGATCACAAAAGACTACATATAATTCCATTGATACGGATGTCTAGAATAAGGAAATCTACTCAGTCACAATAGATCAGTGGTTACTTGTGAATAAGAGACAAAAGGATAGGAAGATGCTAGCTAAAGAGTGTTTGGTTTCCCTTCTGAGGTAAGGAAAATATTCTAAAGGTGTCTGTGGTGGTGAAAGATGGGCACTTCGGTGAATATGCTAAAACTAAATGGCTAAGTTGTATGATATATAACTGCATCTTAATAAACACTTTAAGATATTAAAATAAGGTTAAATAAATCAGTACTAGTAAAAATCAGAACACCCTAGTCTGTGATCTCTAACCAATTACAGGACCTATCCAGCTACTGAAACATAAAGAAATGCCAGGCACATGAGCCTCCCAAAAAGAAGACAGCACCTCATAAGCAGACTTGCCCAAAAGGCTACGGTTACATTTGATCAACCCTCTGTACATGATAGCCTATTTGCAGCAACTAAAGAAGACAAAGGAACATCAGAAAGATGTCATGAGTATGAAAATAACAAAATCTCTAAGACTGCATACCTGTTGATACAAGTAATGCAGAATCATTAATACATATAAATCGCAAGACAAAAAAGTACCTGTCAATTGAGAGGTCTTAAAAGACATAGCATCTAATCTCAAAGTAGGGAATTTACCTGATTTGATTATTTATTTGATACATACTTATACTTGCTTATTTACAGACAAGGTCTCACTGTGTAGCTCAGGCTGGCCTCAGACTCATAATCTGCCTGCCTCTGCCATCCTGAGTGCTAGGATTATAATATATGCCATCAGGACAAGTTCTGATTTCATTTTAAAAAAACAAAACAGGAATGGGAATGTAGCTTAGTGGAAGGAGTGCTTGCTTAGCATGGATGAAGCCCTGGATTCAATTACTCAGTACCACATAAACAGAAAAGGCCAGAAGTGGTGCTGCAGCTCAAACGGTAGAGTGCTAGCCTTGAGCAAAAGAAGCTCAGAGACAGTGCCCAGGTCCTGAGTTCAAGCCCCAGACTGGCAAAAACAAAAACAAATACAAAAAGAAAACTGGTCTATAACATTCCAAAGCTATCAGAAATTTAACAGTGACTAAATATGTAATATGAAGAAGTCAGTCCTAATTCTTCAGGTGTAAAATGATCATTTGGCTCAACTTCTAAAAAGAGAAGTCAGGTACAATGGCTCTGCTTCTATCTGAGAAGCAGAGACTGGGGGATCACTGTTGGAGGCCAACTCAATCAATGGCTAAGTATGGCAGCATGCAGTTGTCATCTCAAAATTGACTATGGGTTGACAACAGTTGGAGGCAAGTGATGAGTTTATGAGGATCCATTATATTCCTTTGTATACTTTGTGTATGTGTAAAGACCATAATAAAGTATTTTAAATGCTAGATAAGCTAGTTCCCTATCCATATGAGTAACTATTAAGAAAAAATAGTATGTTTAAGGCATTCCCAGTCCCTGAAGTAGGTATGAAAACAATGTTTAAAAATGCAATTATTAGGGCTGGGGATGTGGCTTAGTGGTAGAGTGTTTGTCTAGCATGCATGAAGCCCTGGGTTCCATTCCTTAGTACCACATAAACAGAAAAAGCCAGAAGTGGTACTGTGGCTCAAGTGATAAGAATACTAGCTTTGAGCAAAAGAGAGGACAGTGCCCAGGCCCTGAGTTCAAGCCCCAGGACTGCTCCTCTCACCCCCAAAATTGCAGTTATTATAATTCCAGTAAGAAGCACTAAAGATATTTTGAACAAAATTAGTATTGTTGATGTTACTGAATGGACCTAGTTCTCTACTCTTACCATCTACTGCTACAATGAAAAACATCAAGTGCCTGACATCTTTGTATATCTGTGACAATGAACATGAAGTTTCAAACAAGAGACTGCAAGGTAAAGTAGGCTGGCTAGACCTACTATTTTATCAATAGGTACTATATAGTACTTGAACTATATTTCCAGAGAATTTTAAAAGCTTACTGAAAAGGAAAAAAAAATCCCTAGACATACTAATATTTCTCTATATTTTAGCAAATGATGAAAAAGAAGAATTAATTCAGTAAAAGAGCTAATCAAAGGTATTTATTTTTTTAAATGCAACTAGGTGCTGGTCACTCATGCCTGTAATCCTAGCTACTCAGGAGGCTTAACTTTGAGAGTAGTGGTTCAAAGGCAGCTCAGGCAGAAAGTCTATGAAACTCTTTATTTCCAATTAACCACCAAAAAGCTAGACACCAAAAAGCTCAAGTAGTAGAGCAACAGCTTTTAGCAAACAAGCTAAAGGACAGTGTCCAGAGCCTGAGTTCCAGCACAATAAAAAGGGTATTTGAGAAGCAGGAAGATAACTCATTTTAATTTTGACCATAAATTAACATGACATTTTCTGAAATAGATATGAAATGTATGTGGCTAGACAAAAAAAAAATCCTTAAGAGGAAGCAAAGTATAATGGCTCAAAATCCTCAAAAATTACCGATGGAATGCAAGAATAACTTACCAAAAATCATGGCTTTCTTCAATGGATTACTAAGGATCCAACATAAAAACACTGAAGAGGCCTTGTTTTTATCTATCTAGACCCAAGTCCTCAACCTAACGCTTAAAAATATGCTTTTCAAAACACAGTTTTAGAAGGTTAAAATATGTTTGTGACTTTAAGTATCACTATTCCACACTACTGTGAAATATGTGAAATTTATGTAATCACCTAATCTCAATAAAAAATTTAAAAATAAAATAAAATAAAAAGCAGTTTTAAATTCACTGAAAAACTAGGTAGATGGTACAGAGTTCCCATGTGCCTCCTGAACTCCCACACATGCAGTTTTTCCTACTACCAATACCCCATAACAGAGTGGTACATTGGTTTCAATCAGTGAAGCTACAGTGACATCATTATCACTGAAAGGTCACAGTTTACCTTATGGTATACTCTCCTTGTGCATATTCTAAGGGTTTCAACAAATGTATAACATGTTTCTTCCATTATTGTATGCTACAGAATAATTTTACTTTGCTAAAGATTATCTATGTTTTGCCTATTTATTCCTCCTCCAAACTCCCATCAAATACTTTCTAATACTTCTTGGAATGATCAAAACTAGAATGAGCATTTCAGTCCATTTAGTCCATAAAGAAAAAAATCACTATGACTACTAAAGAGTATTAATGCCTGAGGGAGATTGTATAAATGACATCTTTCTCCCTTTATTATGTACAAGTGCCAATTGTTTCTAGCAATTTATCAATACATAGTACCTCAATTATTTTTTGCTTGTATAGTGGCATTATAGAAGCAATACATTTGTCCTCTCTTTAGACTGATATTAACAATTTTTAATTGTCAACTTTAATTATTTTATTTTTGGAACAGAGTCAGGGTTTGAACACAGGGTCTCATGCACTCATGTGGATTTTTCCCTTAGGACTAGTACTTTATGTCTTAAGCCACATATGCAGCCCTCAAGAAACATTTTTTTTGTTGTTGTCCTGGGGCTTGAACTCTGGGCTTGGGCGCTGTCCTTGTGCTCTTCAGCTCAAGGCGAGCACTCTACCACTTGAGCTACAGCACCACTTCTGCCCTCAAGAAACTTTTAAGAATCCAGTTTGTTTTCTACAGTTGTCCAATAGCAAAATCAGGACCTTAGCAGTGGCTTTTATTTTTGAACTGTGCATTTTAACAAAGCTTTTTAACCTCTAAAGAAAATCTGTCAATTTCTGACCAATGAATATAAACTGTTATTTTTAAGTAAATGTTTTAAGCTTCTGTCCAGTTATTTAGAAAGTGAGTCTTTTGAACCATTTAGAAGTTCACAGAAAAAATAAATCAGCTTAGACTCATTAAGTATTTCTGGAGTTGTGTTGTAGCTCCATGCACTTATAAGAAGAAAAGGTAAGCTATTCAAGGAAATTATCCCAATTTGATCAGAAAATAAAAGATAAAACTTGAATTGCACTCTACTCTACTCCCCCCAAAAGTGAGAAGAATATAAGCTTTCTTCAGAAAATAAAAATTTTACTGGAATATCCTCCAAAAGTAGCAATCTTTCATTAACCACATCACTATTTACATGGCAGGCTTTTATTTTTCTGACCTAAGAAAATGGCATGGTACATAATGAGCAATTAATTACCTTTGATTTTTCCTCATTTTCTCTATAAAATTCTGCCATCTGTTCCTCTTGTTCTTCAATAACATCCTTGAGGGTGTCTACCTGGTAGATCAGATTGTTCTTTTCATTGTCCAACTGTGCATTAGAAACCATGGCTTTCTTGTATTTCTCTTCCACTTCAGACAAGGACTCCTAAATGACAAAATCATTAGCTTGAAATCTAAGATATGTTCATTGTGTACATATAACAGAAAATCATAGCATTGGCACAAACACATTAATATTGCATTCACAAAATATAGGTGTTTTAAGAATTCCTTGTTTAGTTACATGCACATGAAACAGAGAGACAAAATACATTCCCTCTTTGCTCCCAAGAAAACAAAATCAAGCAGTAATGTAGCTCTGAAAGATGAAGAGAAAACCACTTCTAAGCGTCAGAAAATCTACATTCATTGTTTGTAACAACAAAACACCTGGTGTTTATATGCAATGATGCAACAAAACGGGGCCTCTTACTACACAAAAATAGTCATTTGAATTTTGCCACTTCCTAGGTTTCTGTTTTCAGTATATGCTAATGTCAATGTGTAAACATGTCTTCTAATTTTATTCAAATTTTAGCCATTTTTTAGTAAGTGATCAATACAGGTTAGACATGGTGGCTCACCTACATAATCCTAGCTACTTGGAAAGCAAAAATTGGGAGGACTGTGGTTTGAAGCCAGACCATCAGGCACAAAGTTCCCCATTTCAACCAATTTAAGGAAAGATGGGCATGCTCGCACACACTTGTCATCCCAGACATAGGGGAAATAGGAGGGCTGTGCTCTGGGCCAGTCTGGGCATAAACATAGTTGAAAGTGGTAGAGTGTCTGCCAAGCAAGGCTACAAGTTCAAATGTATTGGTGTGGGTGTGAAAGAGAGACAGAAATGGAGAAAGACAGAAACAGAGAGAGAAAGAAACAGAGAGACAGAAAACAAAACCAAAAAGGGCTAAAATGGTAGAGCACATGACTAATAAGTGAAAGGCTGTGGTTTCAAACCCGGTACCACCAAAAAAAGAAAAGAAAAGAAAGGAAAGGAAAGGAAAAGAAAAGAAAAAGTAAGCAATTTTAAAAAAAGACTATTAAAAAAGGGAGCTACTGTCAGGTTCTGGTTGGCTTACACTGTAATCCTAGCTAGTCCAAAGTCAGCTCAGACAGGACAGTCCATGAGACTCTTACCTCTAATTAGCCACTTGAATGCCAGAAATGGAGCTGTGGCACAAAGTGGTAGAGCGCTAGCCTTGAGCAAAAATCTCAGAGAAAGTGCTGAGGCCCTGAGTTCAAGCCCCACAATTGATTTTTTTTTTTAAGGGAGACATTAGCTGGGTGCAAATGACTCATACCTGTAATCAGCTTCACAGTTCACAGAAGGTTATAGGTGGGAAGATCATGTATTGATATCCATATGGAATCAATTTTATTTAAGTTCTAGTAAGGCACTGATTTTCAATGTGGGTTATGGATCAGCAGCCAAGAACATTAATTGTGAACTGGGTAGACATGCAAATTTTCAATCCCCTCAATGACTCCCTCAGTCAGAAAATCTGGAGGTAGAACCCAGTAATCTCTATTCTGAAAAGCTCCAAATGATCCTGGTACACACCAAAGTTTTGAAACCACTGAGTTAGTTTAAGCTGTGTATAGTGCCATATATTAAAAAAATACCTTCTCTCTTAGTTCATAAGCTAGTAGCTCATAAGCATCCTTACTTTATTCTTGGCACTTTGTAAAGGGTAGATACTTCACTAGGTACCACTGACTCAAACCTATAATCCTAGCTACTCAGGAGGCTGAAATCTGAGGACTGTAATTCAAAGCTAGCCCAGGCAGGAAAGCCTATTGAGCCTCTTATCACCAACTACCATCAAAAAGCTGGAAGTAAAGCTGTGGCTCAAGTGGCAGAGTGCTAGCCTTGAGCAAAAATGCTGCAGGACAGCAGTCAGGCCCTAAATTCAAGCCCAGGACTGGCACGCACACTCACGCGTGCACGCCCACACACACGCCCACACACACCACGGTCACTTCATCTATTAGACAACTCATAAGATTTACACTCATAGTCCACACACACACACACACACACACACACACACACACACCACGGTCACTTCTTCTATTAGACAACTCATAAGATTTACACACATGGTCCACACACACACACACACACACACCACGGTCACTTCATCTATTAGACAACTCATAAGATTTACACTCATAGTCCACACACACACACACACACACACACACACACACACACACACACCACGGTCACTTAGACAACTCATAAGATTTACACTCATAGTCCATAACCTCTTCTCTTCTCTCAACAATTCTTCCTGGGATTACTTAAAGCCATTTTCTTACTCCTAGTGTTCTAGAACTAAAGAAATAGCAATATTTAAAAAGAACATTGTCTGGAAGGCTTTAACTAAAACTAGTCAGTACAAAACTGACTTTGTAGATGACTAAAACTAGTCATCTACTTTGTAGTTTTGTGATCATTTACTTTGTAGATGGATAAAATATTGTTCTTGTTCTCAACATCTCAAAACCTAGCTGAGTTAACTGTACATGTAAAGAATGAGATACCAGCACTTACACTGTACATCAAGTGACTGGTAACTGAGCTACTTTCAACTCAGGGACAGGAAGGATGGTAACCTATCATTATGTTCTACTGAGTATTAAAAACAAAAATCATGCTGGGAACTGGTGGCTCACGCCTGTAACCCTATACTCAGTAGCTGAGAACTGAGGACTGTGGTTTGAAGCCAGCCTAGGAAAAACAAATCTATGAGACTCATACCTAATTAACTAGAAATGGCTGGAAGTGGCTCAAGTGCAGCTCAAGAGTTAAGAGTGCCAGCCTTGAGTAAAAAAGCCAAGAAAGGGTATGAGTAGTATGAGTACCTGAGTTCAAGCCCCAGTACTGGCACAAAAGAAAAAAACAAAGAAAGTAGCATTCTTTTAACGCATCTCTTTATTAGTCTTTTCTCAACTAATTTCACCATTATTTCAACCTTATTCTATCTCTGGTTTCTAAGTGACTGTACTAAAGTGTCCTTAAAAAATTCTTAATGTTTCGCTATAAACTTTTCTTTAAATGATGGGAAGAAAGAACAGAGTATGTACTAAAGAAAACAAATTCAGCCTGGGTTTGCATAAAAAAGAGAAGTTATCAACATCCCTCATTGAAAATTCTTCATTAAAAATAAAGCCAGACTGAGGAGGCTAAGATTTGAGAATTACAGCTCAAAGCCAGCCTGGACAGGAAAGTCCATGAGACACTTATCTCCAATTAACTACCAAAAAGCCAGAAGTTGGTGCTGTGACTCATGTGGTAGAGTGCTAGCATCGAGCAAAATAGCTAAGGGATAATGTCCAGTCCCTGAGTTCAAGCCCCAGGACAGGGACCAAAAAAAAAAAAAAAAATAATACTAACACTTCAAACATAAGCAGAGATTGAAAGTTCAGAAAAATAAAGCTGTGCAGGTTAAGCACATGCTTGAAAGACAAATGCTGTTAGTAAAGCTATGTGCAGTACATTAATAAAACTCGTGAAACCACCATTACCAACGTTCTGCATACACAGCATGCGTGAGTTGCAAGATGGGCCCTGTACCTTTAATTCTTTAAGCCCCTGCATGTATCTCCCTTCTACATCCTGTATCTGGTCCTTCAGGTCATAGATATCCTGCAGGACATAGGAACGAACCATTGCATAAACAATGCATAAACGTAAGTTAAGACTTAAAAGATTCAGATGAAAATAAGACATGCTTTCGTACACTCCAGACTTGATGATACATCGAAGTATAAAATGTAACTACCTCTCCAAACCACTGAAAGGAACAAATAGAGTAGATCATAGTGGGACTGAAGAAGGTAAACAACCTAATGTCAATATTTTTTTTGCCATTAAATTTTGTTGAAAACAGCATTAGCAAATGAGAGCAGGGCTAAATATTGAAAAATGGTAAATAACATATTTTAACATATTACTTGAAAAATTTTTTTAAAATCTAGCATAATACTTCACCCTCTACAACTAGTAAAATACATTGCAAGAAAATTTTGCTGATCCATATATAAGTGGCAAAAGCTGTAATACACATATATGCAGCAAGTTAATCTTCTGTTACTGACCACAATTTGGGTAAGAGAAGCCAAAAACAAAATTTTGAATATAATGTCAAATAAGATATTTTATCCAGATGACACCATTTAAATGTGATAAAACCATATGTTACCATAATCCTCTCTAAGAAAAGTGGAAGAAATCAGATTTTAAATGGAAAATATTGTTTCCCTGGTGCCCATCACAGTTATGGAAGGTCAATTCTGGATCTTTACTGTAGGTGGAAATGTAACTGCTATGTGGCCCTGAATATGATTCTGCAATTATATGCAGGATCAATTATTAAAAATAAATCACATATATTTTTGGCACTATCCCACCCTGTTAAATTTGTCTTTTATACATTGATTTCAGTAAAAGATATTTTCAAAGGACCTATCAGGAGCCAGATGCTGGATCACAAAAACTTCACTTCTTTCAAGGAATGATGTCCTTTTGTTCCACAAGAATGTAGCACCTAAGGTGGGCTCTGGTGCCTCACACCTGCAATCCTAGCTACTCAAGAGGCTGAGACCTGAGGATCAAGGTTCAAAGTCAGCCCAGGAAGGAAGGTATGTGTGAGACTCTTATCTCCAACTAACCACCAGAAAACTGGAAGTGGCACTGTGGCTCAAAGTGGTAGAGCTCTAGCCTTCAACAAAAGCGCTCAAGAACAGTGCCCAAGCCCTGAGTTCAAAACCCATGATCCCTCTCCGCCCACCCCCCCATCCAAAAAAGAATGTAGCGCCTAAAGGCAAGACTTTGCCTTACCCAACTCTGTACCCCCAGCACTTATGCCTGGTACACAATAACACAATGGATACTGACATTTTCAAAGCTATGGCCATGCTGGCTTAAAGTGACATTTTCAAAGTTATGGCCATGCTGGCTTAAGTCAACTCTCCTTCTCTGTCACTTTTTCAAATCCCCATCCAATTAACTCAGTTTTATTCTTGGTCCTAACATCATATAAAATCACTTGGTTTTAATACTGAAACAATGTCTTTTCTATGAGATAGTGGTCTTCTAAAGGCCAGAGTATGTTTTGCTACCTATCTCTCTAGATGGCAAGTTTTCAATAAACAAGAATAGAGGAAGAAAGGAATGCAGTTTCTCTATTATCCTTCACCGAATTCCTTAGCAGGCTCAGCAATTAAAGACATCAAAGAATATTTTTTACTTTTTTTTTTTTTTTTTTTTGCCAGTCGTGGGGCCTGAACTCTGAGCCTGGGCGCTGTCCCTCAGCTCTTCAGCTCAAGGCTAGTGCTCTACCACTGGAGCCACAGCGCCACCCGGCTTTTTCTGTTTATGTGGTTCTGAGGAATCGAACCCAGGGCCTCATGCTTGCAAGGCATGCACTCTACCGCTGAGCTACTTCCCAGCCCTATTTTTTACATTTTTATCTCCCAGATGAAGGAGTTAAGGATAGTGACTCAACTAAAACTAATAAGTCTTTTCACTATCTCAGGTATCTATCTTACCTCAAATATTCTTCTACTATTATTATGAAAAACTGATAACTGTATACAGGTAAATAATATTGTAATGGCTCAAAGGCTAATAATCCTACAGTCTCTATTTGTAAATCTCTGTATTTTCCATTTAAAATACAGCAAATTAATTCTGAGTTACTTTTACATACATAACAAAAACATTTTGGCTTTGGCAAAACTTGTTCCAATACCATCATATTTTTAGGGGAAAATAAAAAGAATTACTTAATTTCTTTCAGGTTCTAAAACACCTGAGAGTAACTGATGAGCTACATTGACCATTTCTTTGAAGAAATCATACTCCTTGTTCCTAGGAAGTCTCATTTGTTAAGAATCTCCTTATAAACTACAAATAGAGACCAAAAGACTTTCAAACACAAATGAAAAACTCAGGTTTACCCGCAATTCACTTAATGAGGTGTCTGGGTCTATTAAGCTGCTGGTATCCCCACTTCCTCGTCTGGATGAATTTCCACTTAGCGGGGTTGTTGCTGAGGCAGAATTTCGAGATGATGGCTAGAAGAAATAAGACACTTCTGAGATTTTGTTTCATTAAAAACGTTTGCTATGAAACTAAAAATAAGGGCAGGTTGTTAGGACCAGATGTAAAATTTCAATATAGAAACTAATTAACAGTGTGATCAAGAAGCCACCAAATGCAATTGATGGACAATTAGATTGGTTTGGGGGTCGGAAGCATTCAGAGAAAGGCCCATGCAAGGAAGCAGAATTTCATTAACTCAAATGTTTTATTAGAAGCTAGAATTCAAAATAACCAAGGAGAGTTTCTGTGGGAGTTTATTTTCTAAGTTTATCATTGCTATTTCCAACAGTACTCTAATGAGCACATCAGATTAGCCTAGAAAAGTTTTACAACTTTAAAATCAGATGTCCCTAGTTCATAAAAATTCCTAAATTCTTTTTTTAATCCTTTAGAGATTCTGGTTGCAGCTAAGAGCAACAACTCTGCATACCACTGTGAATTTAGACTACTCATCACTAAATCATGCTTAATTGTTAACAAACAACAGAGATCTGTGCTGTCCAATGAACTAGTGCTACTGAGCAATTGTAATGTGGCTAGTCCAAATTGAGATTTAAGTATAAAATATATATCAAAGGCTTAGTGCGGAAAAAAATTGAAAAATCTCACTAATAATTTCTCACATTGGTTTTATGTTGAAATATTTGGACATCTGGGTAAAATATTATTTAAATTTAGTTTTTAGTGTTGCTACCAGCAAATTTAAACTTACATATGTTTACAGTGTTGTCTTGCATTATATTTTAGTTGCATGTTCTAGAGTATAAAACTAATTAAGACAAATCATTTTCCTGACTTCCCTAAGGCTACTTTTAGAAAAAAAAAATGACCACTACTATAAAAGCAATTCCTAGCCAGAGGCATGGCTGAGCAGTACAGCACCTGCCTGAGCTCAAGGCTCTGAGTTCAAACTCGAGTACTGCCAATAAAATAAAAATAAAATAACGTCACTCCCAGGAGACATTTGATCTCAAGAAATAATTTATTTATAAAAGGAAAAACAAACACTTGAGATTGTAATCACAGACATTTAATTTTCAGTGTCATACGACTTGTCAAGATCAACTTTTAGAGGAATGAAAAGAAAGAAAAAAAGTAATCAAAAGCTAAAAAAGTGACATTCAGTGAAATAAAATGCAACCATTTCTCTTCCCAGGGCTTCATGTGATTTAACTTCCAAGGAATTTTGAGGGGTCAAGGACAGGAAATAGATGAAGAGTAGCTGTATCAGACCAATTGCAGTAAAATAAAAGAATGAACAAAATGTAAGCTTAAGTGGCCTTAAGAACTTAATTTCCTCAGGAATTTATATACTCACCCTTGTGTAATTTTCAGCATACTGTTTGTCAGATTTTTCATCCAACTAGAAAGGAATAGAGATTTTAAAAATTAGCAAAAATATTTATTAGCATGTTCATTTTTTTGTAAGGGTTGAAAAAAATCTCATTTGAGTTCTCCAAGTTCAATGATGTTTGAAACCTAAAAGTAAACAGTAAAACTGAAATAAAAGTTAAGACACAAAGAGAAAATGTCAGGAATTTTTATTCTAAGGAAGATAAGCACTAAGCACTTTCAGATTTCTATTTCATGGTTTTAAAAAACATTAAAGAATACTGTATATAAGCTTCAGTTTCAACACTGCAAATGTCAATACAAAAAAGCATGCACATATCAAAGGAAAAATCTAATAAAAATAAACCAAAAGCCAAAAAATACATTTTTAACATTACTAGGACATAAAACACATCAATAAAACTAGTTAGTACTTTTTATAGCCAAAAAAAGTTCAGGTTATACTACAAGACACAAATCATTTTCTCCTCACATCATTAAAGGATTTTTGTTTTTTGTCAAGGGGTGTACACACACATGGTCTCCCTACCAAGAACAAAAAAAAAATGCAAACAACACAAAAAGGTTATGAAAAATAGGCCTCTTTCCCTACCATGCCATACTGTTTTCTCTGCTCACCAAAGGCAACCAACTCCAAAGTCTTTAAAATATCCTAAACACTAGGAAACTACGTACATTCAAAGTCTCAAAGTTTTAAGAAAGCATTTGAGATTTGGTCCTATCATGTATTATTCCCTTACAATATAGTATTTATTCATTTGCTTACTGTCTGGTCTAATATAAGCCCTATGTATGTATATGGGCTCTTTTCTATATTCCTAGTGCCAAGTATAGCACACCTACCATATAGGACTTAAAACTCTATTAGATAAATGAAAAAAATGAATCTGCTACCTAGTTTATTTTTATAGCTTCATAGTAGCATGGTATCTTGACATGCTATAGTTATCTTCTGCTAATAGGTCTTGGTTTTTTTTTAATTGTTTTGTTTTTTTCAGATAGTTTATCAAGAAAGAAAAGGATATATTAAAAATTTGCTCCAAAACTCTTCTGACTTTATTATAAATTAGGGGAAAACTCAGAGGTGAAAAGACTTTGCTGAATGTTGAACAATTACTAAATGCCTCAGATGAATCGAAACATCAGTTTTATGAACTCTAGTATTTGTAGCTATTTCAATAGCTATAAAGAGATTTAACTAAATAAAAATACATATCCAGGTTCCAATTACTAGACCTGCTTTCCCAACCCAACCTAGAGAAGAGATGAGGAAATGTTTAATTAATAGATAAAACATGAAATGTCATTACTTCTGACTCTGTTCTGATCATCACTTGATCCTAACTTCCTTGTATTTGAAACTTTGTAGTGATCTTATTACCCATATTCATCATCCAGATAATCTTTTTAAAACATCTGTTAAATACTATATCAGTAATATAAACACTAATTTTAGATTTTAACTTTTGTTTTTGCTTTCTTGCTCTACCATCCCTAAAAGAAATCGCTCTATTTGCATTTTTTAATAATATATGAAATGTTTTACAACAACCAACCAAAAATATGTTTTTAATATGGCAATTATTGTTATAAAAGGTAATAGTTCTCCTTCAAATTTCTACTAGTAAAATGCATTGTCTTTATGTAATCTGTTATACTTTATAATAAAAGAAATACTGTATCTTAATGAACTGGCTTATTTTCCTCATATTTTCCAAGTCTTTTCTGCCAAAGTGTTAAAAAGAAAAGGAACCCTTTTAAAATAGCAATTATGAAATTTATAACAACTATTTATAATAAAATTTATAATAACAATTATAATCTTTATAATAATTAAAAATAAAAAATAAAATTAAAAAACCTAAAAAAGAAAAGCAAGAAGTATTCAAAGTTAAAATATTCTTCTAAGTCTATTTAAAATCTCTCTTCATACCCTGACTCTTATAAAACTGAACTTCAAACTCACCCACTTACTAGTAGACCATCACCATGGAATAATCTTGTATTTCCAAGGTTAAACCAGTGAAGTCAGACGTAACAATGTTGATTCTATCTTGGTTCACTATATTTTGACATGGCCCAATTGTCGCAACTCAAACTGATCATGCGCCAAACCTCGGGATTGTTAAGACAGGAGAGAAAAAAAAAAGCCTACAGCAGCAGTATGCCGCAGTACAGTTATTTTGGTTGCAGTGACTTGGCCAGAGACTTCTTCAGTTGTCACTTTTGAACAGCTTTGTAAAGTAAAACGCTATACTGTAAACAGCCCAAGGAATCCAAGAGATTGACAAAGATGAATTAAGGTAACAAACTAATGTTCATAATGACTGAAAAAGTTTGTGGGAGATTGTGATAAAACTTATTAAAATTCAACTATGTTTAGAGTATAAAAGTGTACTTTTGTATACCAAAAGTATTTATAGTGTAGTATTTGCGATGCAGTCTGTTCAAGGCAGTCATTAAATCCTATTCTAGCAATTACTTGATAGAAAGATAAGACAGATAGATAGATAGATAGACAGACAGACAGACAGACAGATCCCTTATCTGAAATGCTTGGGACCAGATGAGTTTCAGATTTCAGACATTTTAAGACTTAAAGATACTATAATATACATAATAAAATACCTTGCAAATGAGATTCAAGTCTAACATGAAATTTATATTTCATATACACACCCAATCCACACAGGCTAAAGGTTAATTTTCTATGTTAATTTTTAGTGTGTCTGAGTTTTTACAGGAACCTATCACATGACAACTGTTGGGATTTTCCACTGTGACATCATGTCAGTACTCAAATTTTCCAGATTTTACATCATGTCAGGTTTTGGATTTTTTGATTAAGGATGTTCAGTCAGTGATGGCATGGCAATGTTATTCAAAAACAATTTTTTGAAAAAACAGAAAAATAAAAAATCTGATTACCTAGTCACAGAAGGATGAGAACAATCAATTTAATAACTGCCTAAAGAAAAACTGGCTGATGAGTCTATCCAAAAATCAATTATTATTAATCAGCAAATTTTGTTAGCATACTTACATTCTTTTTCTTTATTCTAGTTGGACACAAAGTATACATATATAACTAATAAAGAAAAAATTAAGTGACTAAGAAAATTATAAGCCAGGTACCGGTGGCTCACGCCTGTAATACTAGCTACTCAGGAGGCTGAGATCTGAGGATCTGGGCAGCAAAGTCTGTGAGATTCTTCTCTCCAATAAACCAATAGAAAACCGGAAGTAGTGCTGTGGCTCAAGTGGTAGAGTGCTTGCCTTGAGCTGAAGAGAGCAGGGACAGCACCCAGGCCTAGATTTCAAGCCCCACGTCCGACAAAAAAGGAAAAAAAAAAAAAAGAAAACTATAAATTCTGAACTGTTTGCAGAATCAGAGCATCGTTTTTAACACCTACTAGCTCAGAAGTTATTAACTATCAAGACTACAAATATATATTTGGTCTACAATGTGGTAGAACAAAACCTCTAAATTTTAGTTTAGGCCTGTAATCCTACCTACTTAGGAGGCTGAAATTCGAAGATCATGATTTGAAGCCAGCCAGGACAAAAAAGTCTATGAGACTCTTTTTTTTTTTTTGGTCAGTCGTCGGTCTTGAACTCTGGGCTTGGGTGTTGTCCCTGCACCCTTCAGCTCAAGGCCAGCATTCTACCACTTGAGCCACAGTGCAACTTCCAGTTTTCTAGTGGTTTATTGGAGATAAGAGTCTCCTGCTTGGGCTGGCTTTGAACTATGATCCTCAGATCTCAGCCTCCTGAGTAGCTAGTATTACAGCTATAAGCTACCTGTGCCCGGCTCTTCTATGAGACTTTTGAATGACCAAAAAAGCAGGAAGTAGAACTGTGCCCCACCAAAAAGAAATTTACTGTCAGTAATTTAAAATCAGAATGTTTTACATAAAAAAACAGATTTCTAACATATGTTTAAAAGATAGAGATCCTTCTGAACATCACCTTTTAAATAACAACTAAAAATTGTTAAGACAGAGAGATGGGTCATGGGGCTTGAACTCTGGGCCTGGGCTCTGTCCCTCAGCTCTTCAGTTCAAGACTAGCACTCTACCACTTTGAGCTATAGTGCCACTTCCAGTTTTCTGGTGGTCCATTGGAAGTAAGAGTCTCACAGACTTTCTTGCCTAGCCTGGCTTTGAACGAGATCCTCAGATCTCAGCCTTCTGAGTAGCTAGGATTACAGGTGTGAGCTACCAGCACCTGGCTTCTACCAATATTTTTTGTACCAGTCCTGGGGCTTGAACTTAGGGCCTGGACCTTGAATGTTTTTGTTCAAGGTTGGGGCCCTACCACTTGAGCTAGTTTCACTTCCAGCTTTTTGGTTGTTAACTGGGGGTAAAAGTTTCACAAACTTTCCTGCCTGGACTGGCTTTGAACCACAACCTTCAGATCTCAGCTTCATAAGTAGCTAGGATTAAAGGCGTCAGTTACCAGTGCCTGGCTCACATCTCCTTTTAACATGTCTATAGTGAGCTGAATTATAGTATACTCTACAAAACATATACCTGGGTTTTGGGGTTTTTTTTTTTTTTTGTCCGAGACCAGGACTTGAACCAGTATATGATGGTTTCACTCACTGGCTGGCACTCTACTACCTGAGCCATGCCTCTAATCCCAAGAAACATGTTTGTTTTTTATTTTTTTTTAATTTGCTTTAGAAAGGGGCCTAGCAAATATTTTTAAACTTTGTCAAGAGGCAAAAAAAAGTATATTACATATGCACTTGTACAGCCACTTAAAAATATAAAAGCCAGGGGCTGGGAAGGTGGCTCAGTGGTAGAGTGCTTGCCTTGCATGCTTGAGGCCCTGGGTTCCATTCCTCAGCACCACATAAGCAGAAAAAAAAAAGCCGGAAGTGGCATTGTGGCTCAAGTGGTAGAGTGCTAGCCTTGAGCTGAAGAGCTGAGGGACAGTGCCCAGGCCCAGAGTTCAGGCCCCACGACCAGACCCCCCAAAAAGTATAAAAGCCAGTGGGTGTCATACGGGCTATAAAATAACAGGAAGATTTTGAAGCCCTGTCCTAAAGAATCTTTTGCTTACACTAAAGAGTTATATTTACTTAGTAGAGACAAGAAGAAACTAAAAGAACTGTCAACAATTTCTGTGTAACTTACTTAATTTCCAAGAAATAATTATAAATAGAACATCTATTAATTCAGACATCATGGATAGAACATATATATTAAAATAGAGAATGTTTATACAATAAACATATGTATTTATATAACACATAATCTTATATATATAATATATATATGCTGGATATAAAGAATAAATTCAATTGTCTATATCCATGCTAAAAAGAAGATAAGCAGGCTAAACAGGCAATATTTCAAAAGAATGATTAGAGAATCAGCCTTCCAATTTAATAAGTAAACAGAGCCCTTAATTCAATCCATGACAAGATATTAGATTTGAAAAACAACTTTCCTAGGGAGTAAATTCAGTGCCTGAATTTTAACAGCTACTCTATTAGTTGTTAGTCACAGCTTAAGACAACATAATCACTCCATGCAATGGACTCACACTGGTCAAGTCTGGGATACTGGCATCATCCACCTCAGAGACAACACTCCCCCTACGATTCGAACGACTAAAATAGTCAGCAGCAGAAACCTTCTAGTCAGAAAAAACAAAAACAAAAAAAAAACCACTTTAAAAGTTAATAGAAGACAGAAGAAAAGAACATTGGCCCAAACAGAAAAAAATGTTTTAATTTCATGTATGATAAAAGTATTATGAAACAAAGAAACTTTATAATTAATCTACTCAAAAGTTACCAAAAAAAAAGTTTCTTAAGTGAAATCACAGCTCCCTTAAAGCACTTGTTTATGTAAACTACAATTCCACACAATAGAGGTAATTTATTGGCTAAGGGCAAGCAAATCTCACACATTCTCAACTGGCAGTTTCCAAGATTGTAGCTACCTAATACCTCTACTATATTTCATAAAGTTTATTCATTATAGCTATCAATTCTAGTGATAGCTAATTTCCACCCTTTTTTATATTCCTCAAGATCAGGAAATATACAAAATACAAAGGAAAAAAAAAAACCCACTCATTTCTTTTTGCTTCACCCAACTTGCCAGCTATTTCCTGACTCAGACGCGGACACTGCTCTGGAAAGCTCTTTCTTTATACCTTCCCCTCCACCACTACCAAACAAACAAACAAATAACAACAACAACAAAAACCAGCTGGTTCCTCATATTTTAGGGAGCAGCTCAGAGATTTCTGGCCCCAACTACTCCACCCAAAGGGGCACATGCGCACACAAATAGTTTGCTCTCTCTGGTATAACACACTATTCCTAGCACTCAGTGCCTCAAAATACTAAACACAGTACCTAGCAAATTAATAAATTTGTTTTCTCTCATCAACCAATCATTCTTTATTTCACTCAGTTGACTGTTTACCTTGCTTCTCCTGGAGGAGAGGGTGATTCAGAAACTCATAAGTAAAAACAAAGTAGACCTATGAAGTTTTGTTAATGACTAATAAAATCAAGCAATCATTTTTATTCACAATAATACTATAACAGATATCTACATACCAATATATATATACACATGTATATGGGGCTAATATGTCAGAACTGCTATAGGTATTTTCTATAATTCACTGAATTCATCTATTAGGCCTACCTATAAATTAGATAGCCTTAACATCTCCATGGTAAATATTAAAAGAACCACCACAGAAGTGGATGCAAGCCCAAGCACCAATTTACTTTTCTAAAGTGCTTTCAGGTGTTATGGCTTATTCTCTTTCCTCCAGTAGCATGAACACCAATTGGCTGACTGAGGGAGCACATCTGCTTTAATAAAATAAGTGAAATTTGCCAATAAATCTCACACAAGCATTTGGTGTTCCATTTCTCTTTACAATCTTCCTAATAACAAGAACTGTATTAAATAGATCATTTTTCTGAATGTAATTACCACCTCACAGAAAGAATGCTTTGTCTAGCTCCAAGCTGACACATGTAAGCTTTACAATTTTATTTTCAGATCATTTTCTTAAATATAATAGATGTCATCCAGCCAATGTGAAAGTTCCAGCTTCATAAAAGAAATGAGGAATAAAAATTGGATGAATGAACTAGATTTGTTTAATTTAGCCCTCAGTAACTTAAAAAGTTCACTGATCTTAACAGTTAAATATTGATTAAATACCACATACAGAAGTATCTGGCAACCATAATTATGAATTAATGATAAAGTATTTTTGCTTGAGATATTTTTGTTTAATGAAATACACACTAAAATGCATTGCATAACAGCTATGGAGAATAAAACATAGACAAGTTTCAATAAATGACTTGTATATGAGACATCTATAAGAATAAGACCCATAGTCTCAATGTAACATTATAAAGCAAAGTATTCATATAAATTTAAGGAAAATGCTCATTTTATCAAGCACAAATTTTATTTTCCAGTAGATTTCATTGTTGTCACTTTAAAAGTTGTCATATTTGTTTGCATGCAAACTACGCTCACCACACTCTCCCTTCGCCCATGGCTGGCACGATCAGAAGACACAATGCTTTCGGTGTCATCATCGATAAACTATAGATATTAAATGCAGATAACAAAAAATGATTCAATTTCACTTTAGGTCTTATCTGACTGTAAGCACCTAAAACAAAACACTCTATACAAGCATTATGATTGGCCCAATGTGCTATGTACTATTAAATTAAAAAGCTGGGCTGGGAAGGTGGCTCAGTGGTAGAGTGCTTGCCTTGCATGCATGAGGCCCTTGGTCCAATTTCTCAGCACCACATAAGAAAAAAGAAAAAAGCCGGAGGCAGCGCTGTGGCTCAAGTGGTAGAGTGCTAGCCTTGAGCGAAAAGCTGAGGGACAGCGCCCAGGCCCAGAGTTCAGGCCCCACCACCGGACCCCCAAAAAATTAATTACTTAAAAAGCTACTACAAAGTAGAACAAACTAACATTAAATATCAAAAGGCATTTCCAAAATGCACGAAGAATAAAGCAGACCTTTATTTTTTTAAGTTAAATACAAGGGGAGAGCATGAATAAACCAAAACTGTCTATCAAGGTTATGCTTTTCAGATCTCCAGATCTTCGGAATCCCATGAGGAGTCAATAAATACATTTAATGCTTTATTATGGGAAATATTTTTCTTTAAAAATTTAAATGAAATAGTTTGAATTAAAGATAGAATTTCCTACCAGCAAAGACACTGAAGTGATGATCTGGATATCACTTTATTCATTCCTATGCAGCTAGTGGAAATGTTTCTAGTATCACCCTATATTGAGCAGATTTCTTCCTATTTTACAAGCAGAAGTCTCATCTTTGGTAGATGTAGTTTGTCTCCATTCTGACATCACTAAGAAACCATTCTGGCATCACTAAGACAGTAGCCCCAATGTGCAAATGAAATAGGATCTAGCTAGTTCAAAAGAACAAGGAACTAGACTAAAAACATATCATTAGTCAAGAGTGATGGCATACACCTGTAATCCCTAAATGGAAGGCAGAGGTAGGTTTCAGACTGAAGCCAGCATAGGCAAAAGCACAACACCCTAGTTGAAAATAAAAGCAAAAAATTAAAATTAAAAAAAAATCCTGATGGTGTGACTGAAGTGGCTAGAGCTCCTGCCCAGCAAGAGTAAGACCCAGAATTTAAGTCCCAGTACTGCCTAGCCCCCCCAAAGATATGTGTGTGTGTGTGTGTGTGTGTGTGTGTGTGAGAGAGAGAGAGAGAGAGAGAGAGAGAGAGAGAGGAGGGGGGGGAGAGGAAGAGAGGAAGGAAGGAAGGGAATAAAAGAAAGAAGGAAGGAAGAAAAGAGTTAAAAATTATTTTAGGAGCTGGGAAGGTGGCTTAGTGGTAGAGTACTTGCCTTGCATGCATGAGGCCCTGGGTTCAATTCCTCAGCACCACATAAGCAGGGGAAAAAAGCCGGAAGTGGTGCTGTGGCTCAAGTGGTAGAGCACTAGCCTTGAGCTGAAGAGCTGAGGGACAGCGCCCAGGCCAGAGTTCAAGCCCCACGACCAAACAAAAAAAAATTACTTTAATGTAAAAAAAAAAAAAGAATGAAATAAATCACCATGTACTGATATACAGTAAAAACAATTGATAGATATGGTGATCAAAACACCCATGAGACCCTCATCTTAATTAAAAAATAAGCTGGAGCTAGTTGCCAGTGGCTTGTACGTGTAAATCTAGCTACTTCAGAAGCTGAGATTGGGAGAATCATACTTCAAAAGGTCAGCCTAGGGAGAATTCTTTCTTAACCAATAGCTGGATACACAGGTACACACTTGTCATTTCAGCTATGCCTGGGGCTGAGATTGAGGTTATCAAAGTTTCACACCAGCTCAGGCAGAAAAGTCCACCCAACCCATCTCAACAAAATATGATAGTTTTGCCAGGTGCCAGTGGCTCATGCCTGAAATCCTAGCTACTCAGGATGCTGAGACCTGAGGATCATGCTTCAAAGCCAGCCTGGACAGAAACATCCATGAGACTCTTATCTCCAATTAACCACCAGAAAACCAGAACTGGTACTGTGGCTCAAGTGGTAGAGTACTAGCCTTGAGATGAAGAGCTCAGGGACAGTGCCCAATCCCAAGACCTACAACCATATTTTTTTTTTTAAAAAATGATGGTTTTGGTGGCACATGCTATAATCCGAGATATAGAGAGAAGTGAAAAATTAAGAGGATCATGAATCAGGTAGGAAGCAAGAACCTTTTCTAAACAGGTGCCAGTGACTCATGCATTCAATCTGAAGTACTAAAAAGGTTGAGATCTGAGGATCCAGGTTCAAAGCCAGCCTGGGGAGGAAAGTGCATGAGGCTCTTATCACCAATTAACCACCAAAAAGCCAGAAGTAGAGCTGTGGCTCAAGCACCAGCCTTGCACAAAAATGGTAAGGGACAGTGCCCAGGCACCAAGTCAAGTCTCAGGATAGACAGACAGATAAATCAGCCCCCAAAAGGACTGAAGGTCTAGCTCAAAACTAGAACACTTTTCTACCAAGGATGAGATCTTGCAGTACCAATTTAAAAAAAGAAAAAAAGCAGCTGGGTGCTGTGGTTTGTACATGTTAACCCAGCTACCTTGTGTGGGTTTTTTTTTTTAACTGTATTTTTTTTTGTCTTTTCTTTTTTGGTACTGGGGATCGAACCCAGGACGTTGCGCTTGCTAGGCAAGCGCTTTGCCACTGAGCTACATCCCAGCCCTAACCCAGCTACCTTGGAAGCATAAATAGGAGGATCAAAGTCCAAGCCAATTTGGACAAAAAATGCAAGCCTCTATTCAAAAATCTAAAGCAAAATAGACTCAGAGCATGGCTCAAGTAGTAAAGCATCTGCCTAAAAAGTATAAGGTCCTGAGTTTGAACCCTAGTACTCCCAAAATTAAAAGAAAAAAGCATATATTGAGGAGCAATATGTGCCTAATATGAGCCCACTTATGTTCAGAAGTTCCATTTTGGGGCTGATGTGAGAATTTTTACTTTGAACTGTATTAGTTGTTAAAAATCGAACAATGTATTTTAATACTCCAAATTAGAATTGTCTCAGTACTATCTTCTACATAACCATTTTTTTAAAGTTTGTTTTGTTTTATGTCTTTTGCCAGTTCACTGATAGAAGTGCCAGTAGGCTGGTGAACTGGCACAGATCAGGAAGATAAAGAGACAAACCCACAATGGCCAACCAAACATTAACATCAGAAAAGATGAGCTATTTTACACAAGTAACAACAGAAATTTTTAAAAATTGTCTAATCACTTGGCTCAAGATGTATTTGAGAAATTATGTAGCCAGGTGCCAGTGACTTACCTATAATCCTGGCTACTCAGGAGGATGAGGTCTGAAGATCATGGATTGAATCCAGCCCAGGCAGGATTCAAGTCCATGAGACTCTTATCTCTGATAAACTACCAAAAGTACGAACTGGAGCTGCAGCTCAAATGGTAGAATACTGTGTTAACCCTGAGCAAAAGCAGCTCAGGAACAGGACTCAGGCCCTGAATTCAAATCCCAGGACCAGCAAGGAAAAAAAAATATGTACTAAGTTGCACTCATACAAGAACTATCAGTTAAAACAAATTAGTACTTGATTTCGTGAGTTAAAAAGCATCATACTCCATGCACAATACAGTGAGAAAACACCACATCTTGAATATTCTAAACTGTAAGTACAAATCAATGAGAACAACTAAAAGCTTCTATTAAGGATGCAAAGAAAGTAGACAGCTCACCACAGGACTGCTTCGTGCTGAACTTGTTCTTGATGAATAATAACTGTATTCAGATGGCTATAAAATTTCCAAGAAGAAAGGATTTATAACAATTCTCTTTTTGGGAACACATTAGTGACTCCACACCTAACGACCCCGACTCTCAAAATGTAGTTAACTACTTCTACATGATCTCCCTGATATCACTCAAGATTCACCAGTCCCTGACAAGAGGGAGAGTAAGGGGATACCCTGAAGCATGGTGTTATCATTTATCTTTGTTAGTAAGCTGTTACCCTTACATCTCCCCACTTTTCGCAACATCCCGAAGTAGACTTACAGTTCGAGAACCATAAGGTTTATATAATCCACCATCATACAATGACGCCTGAAGAACAAAAGAAATACCATTTACCTATTCAGTATCAAGAGTGTTTGGAAAATACACTTAACATTTTTTTTTTTGCAGTACACAGTTATATTTTTTTTAAATCCCCAAGGACCAGTAACTTGTACCTATAATCCTAGCTACTCAAAAGGATAAAATCTGAGGACTGAAGTTCAAATTAAGCCAGGGTGGAAAGTCTATGAGACTCTTATCTCCAATTAACAAGCAACAAGTCAAAAGTGAGGCTATGGATCAAGTGGTAGAGTGCCAGCCTTGACTGAAAAAGTCAAGGGAGAGCACAAGACCCTAGTTCATACTTCAGAAACAGCATCAAAAAAAAAGTCTCTCAAATTTTTCTGCCTGGGCTGACTTTGAATCTCAATCCTCAGAGCTCAGCCTCCTGAGTAGCTAGGATTATAGGAAAGAGCTATATTTTTTAAGCTTCCCAAAGTAAAGATTCTGAGGCTGTAACACTGACACAAATTGCTGTATCAGCCTCATTACTTACTACAGAATTTTCTTAAAACTGTGTTATAAAACTAGGAGAACAATTTATTCTTTTGGAAGAAGAAAAAGAACAGGAATGGAAACAGGTACAGAATACATTTTTTGCCCACTGTTGCAATGAAATCAAGTTATATAACTTCGGAGTTCTAGTCTAATGGCATAGGTACAACACAACAAAGACCTTGAAAGCAACTAATAACTCACACATTGCACAAGCTATTGCTTTTGCTTTTCTAGACGGCACATGACCAAGATCATTAGCTGACCCTCCAAAAAAATATGGCATCTCTTTCATGGTGAGTAAGTGAATGTGAAGGCATTCTACCTTTTCTGTAGGTTTCCAAATAGATTCTAAACAAAGACTATCAATAGTCAGCAGTTGCCGCCTTAGTGCAAAAAACATGCTTATTTTTAATGCCCTGAAATTTTGTATTTTGAATATAGGTAGCACATTCTGCAATTTACATGACATTAAAGGCCTCTGACCTCGACTATTCTGAAGGAAAGCTGTCAAGCCACAGTGTTATTAGCACTATGACAGTTATCCCATCAGCAGTACACACACTGAAAGAGGAAAATACAAACCAGACTGGTACTTCTCAGCAGACCAGAATTTGTAGTTGGGGAAGCCTATGAAAAAAGTGAATTATTAAGAAAAAGTGGTACTCTGAAGCCAAATCTGAAGCCAACTTCTCAAAATATACTAACCCTGTTACTCTTAGATGTCGCCAAAGGATCACTGTACAAGGAAGAAGACTGGAAAGAAAAAAGGCAAAACAAAATAAATAAGCAAAAAAAGAAAAAAAAAAAAAAACCTGGTCTCATCATGAAGGTGAAAGACCATAATTCATCAGCAACTTCTAAGGGCTTCCTGTAGTTTTTAAGTCTTCAGATAGTTAACACAGGAATTAAAAAGAAAAAGTCAATAGAAACTTTCTTAAATGATTTCTGTAAGGGAGAAAAACACTTGGAACAGTCTTCTAGCAATGTGTCTATAGTCTATTAGTCCTTGAAGATTATTGTTAGAATGTGAAGTATGAACCTAAGAAAATATATTTTTTATTTTTTTAACTGTATTTTTTTGTCTTTTCTTTTTTTTTTTTTTTTTGGGTACTGGGGATCGAACCCAGGACATTGCACTTGCTAGGCAAGCGCTTTGCCACTGAGCTACACCCCAGCCCTGTTTGGTTTTTTTTTAACTGTATTTTTTTTGTCTGAAAAAAAAAATTTTTTTTTTAAAGCACCATGGCAGCCGAGCGCATTGGTGGCTCACATCTGTAGCCCTAGCTACTACTCAGGCTCATGGTTAGAAACCAGACCAAACAGGAAAAGTCCATGAGACTCTTATGTCCAATTAACCACCAAAAAAGCTGAAAGTAAAGGTATGGTAGTAGTAAAACACTAACCTTGAAAAATAAAAATTAAAAAGAGAAGTTAATCTTTATTTCCAGTGCTGGAGATTGAACCCATGACCTAACATGAGGTACATAAGTACTATCACTTTGTATTATACCCTAAGCCCTAACTTATTTTAAGTAATTAAAATAACTATATGCTTCAAATGTATGTTAAATGCCTTGAAAAAACAAGTTTCTATAATTAAATAAAGGGTACTGGTCATGAAGTGTATTGATCGATTCCTACAACTTATTTTGAAATACATTAAAAAAAAAAGATGAAAACCAGGTATGTTGGCACATGCCTCTCAGCACTTGGGAGGCAAAGGCTGGAGGATCACAAATTTGAGGCCAGCTTGGGCTACAGAGTAAAACATCTCTAATAGTAATTAGGTTTTTTTTTATTAAAAGATGAATTGATAGCTAAAGGAACAGACAAATTATGTGATAAAGAAAATGCAGATGTGATGTTATGATGTTAATTATGAAATTCTTTGAGTGTTTTTTGGGTTTTTGTTTTGTTTTTTGTTTTCTGGGTTTTTTTGGTCCCAATCTGGACTCAACTGGGTATCTAATGCTTACTTCCACTCATTGGATGATGTTCTACAACCTGAGCCCTACCTCAAACCCCAGGTTTTTTATGCTTAAATCTTTTCATTAAGATTTTGTTTTTAGGGGCTGGGAATGTGGTAGAGTGTTTGCTTTGCATGCATTAAGCTTTGGGTTTGATTCCTCAGCACCACATAAACAGAAAAGGCCACAAGTGGCACTGTGGTTCAAGTGGTAGAGTACTTGCCTGGAGCAAAAGAAGCTCAGGTCAGTGCCCAGCCCCTGAGTTCAAGCCCGGGGACTGGCAAAAAAATAGATTTTGTTTTTAAAGTACTCATTTACAAACATGGTTATTCAATAGTTGCCACTGTTTAGAGGCATACTTACATAGACTACATGAATTCAGTTACCTAAAACCAACATACACACCATCATTCACAGATTAGTTACAAGCAGTCAAAATGTAAAACGAGGGATTAGAAATGTGCTAAAAAGTGGGTAAGACACATGAAGTCAAAAAACTTCTGACAAACCCGAGTGAAGTAGGTAGAGGTAGGTTTACTACGTTTAAGACTGCTATAGTTTCTCTGGTCATAGTAGAGGCCACTCTGCAAAAAGCAAAAATAAATAGTTTTCTCAGATTAAATGGTTTTGACCTAGCAGCATACAAAGTGAAATTTGAATATACTAATTCAAATATTACAATGACCAAGGACCTTGAACTTCAAAACAGTGTTTTTAAAGCAATGGGATCATACTAAACAAAAAGTTAAAAGTAACCACTCTTTCAAGTTAAGAAAGACTTGAATTAAAATTAAACTGATTCAAATCAAGTCATTACTAACTTTTACTACTTTAAAAAATAAGACAAGCCAACCAGGCACTGGGGATTCATACCTATAACCCTAGCTACTCAGGAGGCTGAGATCACGGTTCAAAACCAGCCCGGGCAGGAAAGTCTGTGAGACTCTTATCTCCAATTAACCACCAGAAAATCAAAAGTGGCGCTATGGCTCAAGTGGTAGAGCGCTTGCCTTGAGCTGAAGAGCTCAAGAACAGCACCCAGGCCCACAGTTCAAGCCCATGACTGATAAAAATAAATAAGACAAGCATTCAGATAAAATGAAATGGAAATAGGTGATTTATTCTCATGCCCTAATTAAGAATCTAAGACAACTAAAGAATTACTATTTTTATAATCCATTTGGCAAAGCTACAAAAATGATTAGAATTATTTGTTACCAAATTTCTCAGTACTATTGTCAAAAGAAATTGGTCAAATTAGATTATGAGAAGAGGAAAAAAGGAAGGCATTAAATACAGTTTGAGCTATAAACTAAGGCAGACCATTCCATATAAATGTGGTTACCTGAATAAATGTGGTTACCTGAATAAAAGCAATCACCTATAAAACTTCTTCCCAGCTTCTCTGCCATCCTTTTTTCATTCAAGATTAAAAATGTAAGTCTCCACTACTGACACTGTAATCAAGGATACTCCTAACTACTACCCTTCTACTACTCTTGGCCTTGACTTCCTACAGAATTGCCCATTCACACTCTCAGCTAGGCACCATGATTCATCTTTCTTCACAATTCCTAATACCTCATCTGCCAAGACCTCTTCCCTCAGTTATATCCCTTCTTCCCTCATCCCTTCTACTAACAGTCACCCCCCCCCCGCTTCCATCACCCCCTACACATTTCTCTCACAGAAATCCTGAATTAATAGGGACCTTGGGACTATACTGCCAGTACTGTGGCAATAGAGCAGGAAGAAGGTATTGCTAGTGTCCACAGTATTTCATAGCATTTGTCTCCCACAGAAGTAAACAGCAAGGTGACTGGAATAAAAAGCATATTATTCAACCATTCATTACATTATATTGAGTTTGCTGTTAAGTGGCCAGTGGTGGAGGTGATTCACACCAGGAATCCCAGCTGTAACTCAGAAGGAAGAGCCAGGAGTTTAAGGGGCTGGGGGGGGGGGGGATCTCAAATGGCAAAGTGCTGCCTTGCAAGCACAAGACTCTGTATTCTATCCCATACAATTCTACCCTTATATACTTTATTGTTTCTGTCAGAAAATACATTCCATGGTCCTAAATAAAAAAATTCACTGAATCTATTCAATCAAGGACAGTTCATAAATGATGAGCTTCTCAAGAGACCTTACTAATTTAACTAGCTTTTAGGGTTAGCATATGTTAATTTGCTATTGAATCTGCAAATAGAACCAAATTATTTTAGTAAGGTTCTTATCAGTCATTTTCAGCATACAGAGTTTCAATGATGCCTTAAAAGTACACTGAAGCAGTCATAATTTATTAAGTTACCTAAAAGTAACAACCATGATACAAGACACAACAGAACTAACCAATGGGTCTTTAGGTGAACCAGAATATCTCTTCTTCCCATAAGAGGAACTGTAAGAGGAATGATTCTAGAAGTAAATAGTTTAAGTTAATGATCACACAGTGCAATTTTTTAAAATAAAATTCATCTTAAAATTACACATACAGGATTGTTTGAGATAGTCTACATGCAATCCATTTCCCACTGTTTAGTAAGTAATTCATTGCACTTGCATAGCCAATTTATGTGAGCTCTCTACACATCATTCTCCCATGCCTCCCCATGCCAGCTTAGTGTCTGGACAGCTTAAAAACAAAAAACAAAACAAAACAAAAAAACTCATTTGGACTTAGAACCAGATGATGTTTGTGTAGACCTTTGCCCTATATCCTACTAAAATCCCTTATCTCCTTTATGAAGTTTCAGATAAGTAAGTCTGTATCTCCTATAGTCTTCTTATCTACATGTCAAAAGTAAGATTGAGAAAATAAAGAACATGAACATAGAGCATTTTACTATCTAAGATGATACTCCTCAAGTTAGAGGTCCTACAGTATGTTCTGATGCGGAAGAAATCATAAGACATGGTATGGTCTGCCAAGTGTAGCAGTAGAATTACTGAATAATATCTTCTAGAAGGGTCTTTTGAAGATTGTCTAAATGCCTAAGTTCTAGGAGTAGAAAGTCATGTGTATAAAAAGACAAAAAGTAGTAATACTTCTAAACAGATTAACTGGTATGCAAGAGATCTAAAATGGGTATGTAATGCTCACCTGAAGAGAATATACACCTATAAAAGTAGCCTATCAATAGCCCAAGCAATAACAGACTCCCTGTTCTAGAAAAACCATTACACATGCATAGCTAAATCATGAAAATTAACATTTGCTGTTCCTTAAAATTTGTTTTTCTTTTTTTCCATTTATATTTTTTAAGTATTGAAGATTGAACTCAGGACTCTGCACTTACTAGGCAGGTACTTTACCACTGAGTTACACCTCCAACCCTCCTTTTTGCTTTAGTTTTTTTTCAGATAAGGTCTCATATTTTTCCTCAGGGCTGGCCCTTCTATCACTCCTGATTACACACATGTGTGCACTGCTACACCTAGTCCAATATGTGTTTCATTTCATAAATAACTGTAAACATTTTACAAACAGTGGCAATATACTAATATAATATTCACACACACAAAAAAACACAGGCTACTGCTTAACTTTCTTCACAAATATAACATGCCAAATCAAGCCAAAATGTTGAGACATCAATGATGTCTCAAGTGTCAGCTATCGCTGTACATGTCACCACACATATTTTGTCTAGCCACCTCACACCTGCTAGTTTGTAACATATAACATGAAACCACATGTGCTGCTGTAGCCTTGTAACATATAACATGAAACCACATGTGCTGCTGTAGCAGAAACATGGCTCTCAAAAAAGAAAAGAACTACGTGTTGGTAACTCATGACTCTAATCCTAGCTACCAAGGAAACTGAGATCTGAAGATTGAAGTTTGAAGCCAGCCCAGGCAGCAAAGTCCAAAAGACAACTCTCCAATTAAGCAGCAAAAGCCTAGAAGTGGAGTTGTAGCTCAAATGGTTGAGTACCAGCCTTGAGCAAAAAGAAGGTTAGGGACAGCACCCATACCCTGAGTTCAACCTCAATAGTAGCAAAAAAAAAAAAAAGAGAGAGACAAGAGAGATAGGGAAAGAGAAGAGAAGAGAGGGAAGGGGCATATGTCAGCTGGGTGGCTCAGCACCACAGGAAAAGATATTACTACCAAACTTATTTTTGAACAGGTAAGCAAATAATTCATCTAACCCTGAAGTTCTAGCTCTTACATTAGACTTCTATCCATTTTAAGGTTTTGCTGGGGATTTGGGGGGATTTTCACTACTAGTGCTGGGGATCAAACCTGCAGCCACACACATGTTAGGTAAAGCACTCTACCAGGTAAGCAAATAATTCATCTAACCCTGAAGTTCTAGCTCTTACATTAGACTTCTTTCCATTTTAAAGTTTTGCTGGGGATTTTGGGGGATTTTCACTACTAGTGCTGGGGATCAAACCTGCAGCCACACACATGTTAGGTAAAGCACTCTACCAGGTAAGCAAATAATTCATCTAACCCTGAAGTTCTAGCTCTTACATTAGACTTCTTTCCATTTTAAAGTTTTGCTGGGGATTTTGGGGGATTTTCACTACTAGTGCTGGGGATCAAACCTGCAGCCACACACATGTTAGGTAAAGCACTCTACCACTAAACCATATCTTCAACGCTGATTCTAAAATTCTAAAGGGAAATTATCCAAATCACAAATTATGCCAAAATTGCAAAACAAGAATGAGAGGAAAAGAGGGTACAGCTGACACTGAGTAAAAGGAAATAATTGTAGATATCACCACCCTATGTGGAAGAAATAACTGTATTGTCAAAGCTCACAGAATTCACAAACTTTATAGACCACGATTAAAGACAATCTGCCCCATGCAGGTTAGGATGTGTTTGACTTTAAGTATCACTATCTCACAATACTGTCAAATTTATGTAATCACAATCACAATAAAAAAATTACAAAACAATAGTTGTTGCCTTATTAGTCACACATTTTCCTCCAAAAACTGTAACAAAACCCATGAATAAAGTTAGTCATAATCTGATTAGCAATAGGTAAAAGTCCATGCTTAAGGTCATGCACTACATACAAATGATGAAACTCTTGATCTATCCTTGAGATTATCATACTGGAATTCAGAAAAATGCAAAAGTTGATTTTATTTCTAAAGTCAGGATACAAATAAAAAGAACATTAGCAATTATTAAAAATATAGCACTACTTTAAATGCAAAAACCATTAATCACAAAAGCTATTAAATTTGAAATAAAAATGCTTCTTCCTAATCCTTCCTATTATTAATTATTACTAAATTGTATGTTTAAACTGCATGTGAGGGGGCTAGGAAGGTGGCTCAGTGCTTGCCTTGGGTTCGATTCCTCAGCACCACATAAGCAGAAAAAGCAGGAAGTGGAGCTGTGGCTCTAGTGGTAGAGCACCAGCCTTGAGCTGTAGAGCTGAGGGACAGTGCCCAGGCCCAGAGTTCAGGCCCCATGACCACCACCAACAACAACAACAAAAAAACCTGCATGTGAGGGCTGGGGGCATGGCTCAAGTGGTAAAGCACCTGCATAGGTCCTGGGTTGGAGCCCCAATACTGAATAAGTGAATGAATGAAATGAATGAATGAGGTGAATAAATAAAACTTTATATAGAGTGTCGGACATGGTGGTCTATACCTATAGTTCCTGCTACTCTGGAGGCTGAGAGAAGAATTTTCAAGTTTGAGACCAGCCTGAGCATCATAGCAAGAATCCTCTAAAAAACACTGGTATGTCTCCAATCTTACCCCTCCTTTTTTTTTCCAGTACTAATATGAACTGGAAGTACTGCCTAAGTAGTAAAACGCTTGCCTACTAAATGTGGGACCCTGAGTTCAAATGTAGTATCAACAAAAAAACTTAAAAATTAAAAGATTACTGTAACATCTTAGTACACTGTAGCACAAGCCACTCTAAATATTCTATAATCAAAGATGTCACTAGATGTTATTCTGCATCATCACTTTCCACAATTAAAAAAAAGAGAAAAGCAAGGAATACACAGCCAATGAGGCAAGAACAAATAACACAATAAAACTTTAAAGAGAATAATTGCAGAATCAAAATAGGAACACTTCCTTGGAAGAGGAAAAGGAATTGCAGGCTAGTAAAGGGGTGTGATGGGACAAAACTCAATCTATCTCAATGGCTAGGCATGGTAGAACAGCTACTAAAGAAGCACAAAGACTAGGCACAGTGATACACAGCTGTCATTCCCAGCAATACAGGGAAGCACAAGTAGAAAGACCATAGTGGTATAGTCTCAGTCTTGAGCAAAAAAGCTTGGGACCAGCACCCATGCCCTGAGTTCAAGCCCCAATACTGGCAACAAAAAAGAAAGACATGAAAAAAAAAAAAGTTAACTCTAACAAACTTGCCTAAAGGTATTCACAGGGAAACAAAACAGGAAAAAAAAAGTAGTTGACAGAATGGCTCAAGTGGCTGAGCACCTAACTAACAAACATGAAGCTTTCTGTGAAAGCCCTAGAATATGAAGAAAAAAAAGTAAAGTACAACATGCAAGCTATAAAGTCTAGAAAGGGTCAGTTTTTAGTAGACTGTGCCTGTTAAACAATCATCAAGGACACTGAAAATCAACAATAAGTGCATGAAACTCAATACATTTTTCTTCACTACACACCATCACATCTCTCCTTTTGGGTATACTGGCTCTGCTCCAATGTGTCCCAGGAATATCCTTTGATGAGCTCTTCAGAAATTAAAACAGTATAGTAGATAACAAAATAAAAATTGTAAGTATGTTTTAAAAATTACATGTCAAAATTATATTAATATCATTATATTAATACCATATAAATAGCAACTAGATTGATGGATGGAGATAGATACCACATAAGTAGCAACTAGATTGATGGATGGAAACAGACAAAATAGAGATAGATAGATAGATAGATAGATAGATAGATAGATAGATAGATAGATAGATAGATAGATAGATAGATAGATAGATAGATAGAGAGAGAGATAGAGAGAGAGAGAGATAGAGAGAGAGATAGAGAGATAGATAGATGATCAGTTTTTTTAAAAATCTCTGCCAAAAAGAAACAGCTGGTGGCTCATGCCTATTATCCTAGCTACTCAGGAGGCTGAGATCTGAGGATCACAGTTCAAAGCCAACCCAGGCAGGAAGCTCCATGAGACTCTTATCTCCAATAAACTACTCAAAAAAAGCCAGAAGTGGCACTGTGCCTCAGGTGGTAGAGTACTTGCCTTGAGCAAACGAAGCTCAGGGATAGCTCCTCAGCCCAGGCAGGATTCAAGCCCCAGGACTGGCCAAAAAGAAAAATTGTCCTCACTGTGATTCAAAACCATTTCATTATTTTCTAATTTTAGTACTCTACCTTAATGTCTTCTCTTTCAGTATACAAACCAGTGACCAAGCATTTGTAAGATGTTTTTCAAAATAAAAGCTATTTCTTTTGTTGTATATTTTTATTTGTATATATTTGCTGCACAACTGGGTTACATTATCATAGTTCCACACATGCATATAATATACTCTGATCAAATTCACCTCACTTATTCCCACTGAGCATCCCCGACCACCACCTTCTTATTTTCTTGGTATAGTTACTTGGTGTATAGTTCCTGGTAAAATTACCCAAAAAATTCACACAACCGATATTAAGTATTAAAACTTGATATTTGTAAGACCCCATTCTGTTATTATTGCTGCATTTTCCTCGCAGAAAATCAATTTATTCTTTATACCAATTCATAAGTCTTTTGTTGTTTTTAAAATACTAGTGCTGGGGCTTGAACTCAGGGCCTGGGTGCTGTCTCTTAGTTTTTTGTGTGGTTTTGTTTTTGTTTTAGCTTAAGGCTGGGCACTCTACCATTTGAGCTACAGCTCCACTTCCAGCTTTTTCGGGAGTAAGTCTCACAGACTTTTCTGGCTGGCTTCAAACTGTGATCTTTAGATCTCAGTCTCCTGAATAGCTAGGATTACAGGCATGAGCCACGAGTGTACGGCTCATCATATTCTTTTGAGTTAAGAGGCTTTGTCAATAGAGCAGGGATCAATCTCACCTCTATAGTCACCTACAATTAGGCAGATAGTGACTTTGACATTTTTCTTATACTCCTCACTCTTTTCTTACCCAGCTGTAAAATCACTTGAGGTAAGTATAGCATTTTATTCTTTAAGGAAATGTTTGTAGCCCAAATAGTGTCTGGCAAGTTACTTTCAACAAAGTAATATCTGAATGCTAACTAGACAAAAGGAAAATTCAACACACTAAAAATAAGTCATAAAACCATAAATGTATCTGATTAATAGCCAGATACCACTATTGCTCATATACCAAATAAATGTTCTGAATGTTTAAGGACTTTTTTTTTAGTTAGTCATGGGGCTTGAACTGGGCCTGGGAGCTGTCCCTGGGCTTTTCTTTTTGCTCAAGGTTGATGCTCTACCACTTTGAGCTACAGATCCATTTCCAGTTTCCTGGTGGTTGATTGGAGTTAAGAGTCTTACAGACTTTCCTGCCAGGACTGGCTTCAAACTGTGATCCTCAGATCTCAGCTTTCTGAATAGCTATGATTACAGGCGTAAGCCACTAGCACCCAGCTTGTTTAATAACTTTTAATACATAGCTCATAAAAAAATTTTAAGACAGGAAGTGAAAGTATGGCTCAAGTGGTAGAGTGCCAGCCTTGAGCAAAAACAGCCAAGAGCACAAAAAAATTAAATTAAAAATAACTAGCAAATAATAGAACCTTATAATTACATGTTTAAATGTAAAAAATTTTAGAACAATATATTAGTCCATCATTTTTACTGAGGATAAAAGTTGACTTAAAATTCAGCTTAATGGAAATGATAATGTTATTTCAAAAAGCAATTAATCAGGGGCTAAGGATATAATTCAGTGGTAGAGTATGTTTAGCCTATTCAAGTCCAACCCCTGGTACACAAACAAAGAGTCTGGTAAGTACTTAAAAATTAACAACAGTATTTCTTTGAAATAATGTTAACAGTAAGCTTTCAGCTTTACTTCTAGCAAAGCCTAAACATCTTTAGTATATTTAATACATAAACTCACAGATAGTAAAATACTATCTTATAGGGTGTAAAACTTATTAATCTTCAAGTTCTCATACTCATCTTTTTCTTTTTGTAGTACAGGGATGGAACCTGGACCAGGCACATACAAGACAAGTGTTCTATACTGGCTACATCTTAAGCCTTTCATACCCTAACAAGAGCAGGGTAAGAGGGGTAAGAGGAAAGGGGGGAAAGGGGAAGGAGGGTAGAGGGAGGGGGGGAGAATAAGGGAGAGAGAGGGAAGGGTGAGGGAGGGAGAGGGTGAGGGAGGGAGAGAGAGATGGAGAGAGGAAGAGAGGGAGGGAGAGGGAGAGAGGGAGAGGGGAAGAGGGGGAGAGGGGAAGAGGGCGAGAGGGGGAGGAGGAAAAGGGGGAGAGAGACAGAAAGTGAAACACAATACTCAGGAGGCTAGGAGGCAAAGATGGGGGATTTAATTTTTTGAGTTCTAAGAATATTTTAGATGAGACCCTTGTCCATTGTATGGCTAGTGAAGATCCTCTCCCAATCCGTGGGCTTTCTATTGATCTTGTTAGCTATGTCCTTTGCCATGCAGAAACTCTGCAGTTTCATGCAATCCAATTTGTCCAACCTTTCTTTGATTTGTTGTTTCTGGGTCTTTATTAAGAAAATTTCGAAAATTCTGGCCTGTGCCAAGGAGCCCTAGAATTTCTCTTAATCCTTATAATGTTTTCAGGGTGTCTGCTTTGACTTCGAGGTCTTTGATCCATTTGGAGTTGATTCTGGTGTAGGGTGATATATAAGAATCTAGATTTAGTTTTCTACAAGTGTTTAACCAATTTTGCCAGCACCATTTACTGAAGAGGCTGTCTTTCTTCCATTCTATTTTTTTGGCTCCCTCATCGAAGATTAGGTGGCTATAGGTCTGTGGATTTATTTCTGGGTCCTCAGGTCTGCTCTTGTACCAGTATCAAGCTGTTTTGATTACTATGGCTTTGTAGTAGAGTTTGAAGTTTGGTAATGATATTCCTCCAGCACTGTTCTTTCTGCTAAGGATTGTTTTTGCTATTTGGGGGTCTTTTATTGTTCCATATGAATTTTGAGGTTGCTTCTTCTATTTCATTGAAGAATGAGGTTGGGATATTGATAGGTATCACATTGAATTTGTAGATAGCCTTTGGCAATATTGCCATTTTCACGATGTTAATCCTCCTAATCCAGGAGCCTGGGAGGTTTTCCACTTCCTTAGTTCTGCTTTAATTTCCTTTTTCAGGATTTTAAAGTTTTCATCACAGAGGCACTTCACTTCTTTAGTTAATCCTCAAAGAAACAACTGCCTGATTTTGATAAGTGGGCTAAAGACTTAAAGAGAAACTTCTTTGAAGAGGAAATAAGAATGGTCAATAGACACATGAAGAAATGCTCAACTTCTCTAGCCATAAAAGAAATGGAAATCAAAACAACATTAAGATTCCACCTCACCCCAGCAGTTAGAACGGCTATAATCAAGAAATCTAATAACAACAGATGTTGGAGGGGATGTGGCAAAAAGGGAACCCTACTGCATTGTTGGTGGGACTGTAAACTTGTTTAACCACTCTGGAATGCAGTATGGAGGTTCCTCAAAAGACTCCACACAGCCAGGCACCAGCGGCTCCCGCCTGTAATTAATCCTCCCTACTCAGGTGGATGAGATCTGAGGATTACAGTTCAAAGCCATCCCCAGGAGGAAAGTCAGTGAGAATCTTACCTCCAATAAACCACCAGAAAACCGGAAGTGGCGCTGTGGCTCAAGTGGTAGAGAGCTTGCCTTGTGCTGAAGAGCTGAGGGATAGTGCCCAAGCCCAGAGTTCAAGCCCCACGATCAACCCCCCAAAAAAAAAGAAGAAGACCAAAAAAAAAAAAAAGAATGGAAGTGGAGTCATGGCTCAAAGTGGTAGAGTACTAATCTTGAGCAAAAAGCTCAGGGACGATGCTCTGGCTCTGAGTTCAAGTCCCATGGTCGGAAAAAAAAATATTTCTTTAAAGTTTACTGAATGATTTTTTTTTAAAGAAATGAGAAATCACCAAGTGCAGTGGCTCACTTCTGTAATCCTAGCTACTCGAGGCTGAGTTCTAAGAATCATGGTTTGAAGCCAACCTAAGCAGTAAAGTCTGTGAGATTCTTATCTCCAATTAAGGACCAAAAAGCTAGAAGTGGAGTAGTGGGTTAAGTGGTAGAGTGCTAATTTTGAGCAAAAAGGCTCAGGGAGAATGCTCAACCCCTAAGTTCAAACCCCAGGACTGGCACCAAAAAGAGAGAGAGAGAGAAAGAGAGTGTGAGCGAGAAAGAGACAGAGAGAAATCACAATATGTAAACCTTTAAAAAGCAAATTCTCTTTTATCTTTAAATAACAAGCTATGCTAAAAACTAGAATATTCAATAAAATGTTACTCAAAACATCAAAGCATAATTCCAATGCATATAACAAGCAAAGAATTTTCAAATCAATAATTCAATCTTTCCATGTAATAAAATTGTAATTCATCCAGAAAGCCCCAAAATTACTTATTTATTAAGCTTTTAAAGATATTAATATAGTGTAAATCTAAATTAGAACCAAGCAGCTGTTATTCTATAAAATCAATCTTATTATTTTGTGATTGTTCTGAAATCAAAAGTCCTTCAATAAAAAAAGAGAATGAACATAATAAATGAAAATATTCAAGATTTTAATAATTAGAGAAAAATCATCAGTTCCCAAATAAATATCTTTGGGATTATTTTCTACATTTTTCATAAAGCCAAAAAATAAGCACTGTCCAATTGTTCAGGTACTGTTGATTCTGAAGAAAGCTCACACATATAAGCTTTGCTATTGAAGTTTTTAAACAAATACCAACCCAGTGGCTGCCAAGACTTCGAATGGACAATGTATCCTGAACTCCCTGATAAAAATAAAAATAAAACAATAGTAAAAGTTTGTGAGTGGTTTCACTAAGTCAATGAGGAAAAATAGTAGGGGCAAGTTTATAGGTTATTACAAACCAGATAAGGACGATGATGACTAGACCGGTGGGAATACCTGGCCCTTTCCGATTCTTCCTGAGAAAGGAGAAAATTCACGCAAGGTTAATCAATGAACAGACAGCTACTCCGCTGAACAAGGAAACAAGAATACTCAGCAGCATGGCAATATACATTTTTTAGAACAAGTATGTACAGACAGCTTCAAAAAGCACTTGCATGCTTTGGTTAGAAAGAAAGTAGAAATAGGAAGTGGCGCTGTAGCTCAAGTGGTTGAGCGCTCGCCTTGAGTTGAAGAGCTGAGGGACAACGCCCAGGCCCAGAGTTCAAGCCCCACGACCGACAAAAAAAAAAAAGAAAGAAAGAAAGTAGAAATAATCTTCACAATGTTTTGTTTTTTTGCCGGTTGTGGGGCCTGAACTCTGGGTCTGGGCACTACCCCTCAGCTCTTCAGCTCAAGACTAGCGCTCTACCACTTGAGCCACAGCACCACTTCCGGCTTTTTCTGCTTATGTGGTGCTGAGGAATCGAACCCAAGGCCTCATGCATCCAAGGCAAGCACTCTACCAATGAGCCACCTTTCCAGCCCCTCACAATGTTTTTATTTTATCAGTTGTATGTATGGCTGAGCAATGATTGTATTATATAATATATATATATATATATATATATATATATATATATCCATCCAAGAAGGTACAATATACCAAGATAAATATAAACCATTATGCTTAACAGATAATTGAGCTCCGCATTAAATGTAGATGCTTGGTACATTTGTAGACTGCCTGCCTAGCAAACACAAGGCCAAGTTCAAACCCCAATACAGCCAAAATAAAAGGTAAATGCTTATTTTGTAAAAAATTTCAGCTTTTTATTGATTATCTATCATTATAGCTGAACACTAGACATAACATTAGCAAAGAAGTTTCTACTTGCCGAGCTATTTTCAATTAAAATAACTTGTCTTTCTGCCTGCCTCTTCCTTCATGTGATGTTTCTCTTCCAACACCACAGACTGATACTTAGATAAGACTGTTTTAGCAGTTATATATATTAGATCTTAGTCTGAAATAAAGCTCTAGACATACACAGATACTCTTTATTATCACACTACCAGGAATCTTAAGAGAAACCAGTACTCTAACTAAAGGCTTCTAGTCCAGGGGCTGATAATACATTATAGAAAAGTCATGTTTAGCTGCTTCAGGTGTTGTGCTTATCTGAGCTGTCAAAGTCTTCAATTTTGTTCTCACAAGCCATTAGAGATCCCATGGCAACAACCAGCCACAGCCTTTAGCAACATGCTATCTATGATGCATATATCTTCCTTTCTCTGTGAATGTTAATTTATGCAAGGCAGGAAATGTAATAGATGTATTTAAGGAAATTATATATTGCTACAAAAAAAGTTAAAATTTTGTGCTCATTAAAAAAAAACTTTTTTTGTCCCACCGTTCTAGGAAGTTAATAGAACTACTAAGGAATGAGACTTAACTGTTGTTAATATAACAAAACTACTAAGAAGAAATACATATTTTGAGTTGGACGCCTGTGGCTCACACATGTAATCCTAGCTACTCAAGAGGCTGAGATCTTAGGATCGCAGTTCAAAACCAGCTTGGGCAGGAAAGTCTGTGAAACTCTTATCTTCAATAAACTACTCAGAAAAAGCTCCAACTGGCGCTGTAGCTCAACTGGTAGAGTGCTGCCTTAAGCAAAGAAGCTCAGGGACAGCACCCCGATCCTGAGTTCAAGCCAAAAAAAGAAAAAAGAAAAAGAACATTATATATATATATGTAAAGTTATGTAAGTTTGTTTAAAAAACAAAGACTGAGCCGGGTGCTGGTGGCTCACACCTAAAATCCTAGCTACTCAGGAGGCTAGATCTGAGGATCACAGTTCAAACCCAGCCCCAGCAGGAAAGTCCATGAAACTCTTGTATCCAATAAGCCACCAGAAAACCAGAAGTGGCACTGTGGCTCAAGTGGTAGAGTGCTTACCTTGAGCTGAAGAGCTCAGGAACAGTGCCCAAACCCAGGCCCAGAGTTCAAGCACCACGACTGACAAAAAAAAAAAAAAAAGACTGAGGGCTTAACAAGTAAGTACAAAACCCTGAGTTCAAGCCCCAATACCACTAAAAAAAATCTTGTGTTTAAAAAAAAAAATTCTAGGGCTGGGAAGGTGGCTCAGTGGTAGAGCACTTGCCTTGCATGCATGAGGCCCTGGGTTCGATTCCTCAGCACCACATAAGCAAAAAGGAAAAAGCCAGAAGCTGTGCTGTGGCTCAAGCAGTAGAGTGCTAGCCTTGAGCTGCAGAGCTGAGGGACAGCGCCCAGGCCCAGAGTTCAGGCCCCACGAACGGACCCAAAAAAAAAAATTCTAAATTAAAATACCTTATTAAATGCTGATATACATTAAACAGCTTTTAATTTCAATGTATTTGGCCTAAGAAGACTTCAGTAGACTACGGCAGTAAAATGTAAATTCCATGTGAGTCACCTAGCTGAAACAAGTCATAAATAAGCTATTCAATAGCACTTTCTGTGACAACAGAAATATCCCTTATATGCGCTCTCTCTGATATGGTGCTCCACTAACCACATAGGGCTATTGAGCACTTGAAATGCTGGAGGTGCAACTGAGAAACTAAATTATATTTAATTTTAGTCAATTTTAATTTAATTATCTACACGTTAATGTCTACCATTCTGAACAGAAATTTGAAAAATATATGTTCATGCAAAATAGTAAATCAAGCTCAAAACAAATTTTTATTATGTTAGAAACACTCAAAAAATACTTTATTAAAGGTCTCCAGTCCTAGCTGAATCTGCTATCTGCCTATTTCAGGCTCCCATCATTTCTAGGATAACAGATGTGCACTACTATACCTTTAGTTGAAAAGGGGGTCTCATTTCTATCCAGGCTGGCCTCAAATTACAATCCTCCCAATATAATCCTTCTATGTGGCGAATAAGATGAATGACTGAACCACCACTAGGCTTCAAGTGATTTCTCTTACTCATAGAAAATACTCTTAATGTATCATCAATAATATAATCCAGTTACATAAAACAAATTTTACTCCAAAGCAACATTTACATGAAGAATCACTTAATTTTAAGTTACCAAGCATCTTTTTCTCTTTCCTAAAATGTTATAATTATGACAACTATGACAAAATCTCAAATTTAAGCATTACCACTGTCATAAATATCTTTTTTTTTTTTTGATCCGGTCATGGGGCCTGAACTCTGGGCCTGGGTGCTGTCCCTCAGCTCTTCAGCTCAAGGCTAGCGCTCTACCTCTTGAGCCACAGCGCCACTTCTGGCTTTTTTCTTATGTGGTGCTGAGGAATTGAACCCAGGGCCTCATGCATGCAAGGCAAGCGCTCTACCACTGAGCCACCTTCCCAGCCCCAGTCATAAATATCATAACCCTGGTTATTCCCTTCCTAGAGTAGTCCATGAGCTGCTTGTTCAACAGCAATTAAGACAAATGGTTCTTAACCTTTTGGGAATCTGGTAATAAAAATACTTGTGGAGATTTCCCCTAAAAAATAGATCATTTCAAATTTTTGCACAGATTTTAAGGTTTCATACTCTACTTCCTACATCTAGTCACATACTAAATTCAAAATCCTGCAATTAGGAAGTTAAAGAACTTACCAACTTTGAAAAAAGAAAGTCAAATTTAAGATTTATCCACAATAACATTCTATTTAGTTTACAATTTGCTTTTATAGCTAAAAATTAGGTTGTGCTAGTAAAGGACTTATGAAGGAGTTGATAGAGTTGAAATAGTAAGAGAAATGGATAACTTAGATCATCTCTGTGGTCTCTGTTCCTTGGAGGTCTCTCTCTCTCTCCTCTCCCTCCCCCTTCCCTCTCTCTTTTTTTTCTTAATGGAAAGAAAGGCCAGGTACCCTGTGGCTCACAACTGTAATTCTGAAAAACAGAAGAATTCAAGTTTGAAGCCTGATGGGGCAGAAAAGATCCTAAGGCCTTCTCAACCCATAGCCAGCTACAGAGAAATGAACCTGTTACCCGTGCTTCATGAGAGGCTGAGAACTGGAGGACTGCGATTCTAGGCCAGCCTACACAGAAAAGTCCTCAAGATGTTAATTCAATAAAATAGACCAGGAAAGGTAAAATGTGCCTGTAATTCCATCTACAAGAAGGCATGGTGAAACATGCCTGTCATCCTACCTATGAGTCCAAAAATAGGCAGACATACACTCAGGCAGGAGTGAGACCTATCTCAAAAATAAGCAGCACAAAAAGGGCTCTTCTGACTCAGCAGTAGAGCATCTTGCCAAAAAACAAAAGGCTGAGTTCAAACACGAGTACTATCAAAAAAATACAAAGGAGGAAGGATGAAGGGGAAGGTAGGAATTGAAGAAGAAAAGAATAAATCTATAAAAAGAAAACAACATATTTATTTACTCAATCTCTATCAGCAAGGGCTTCTGATCCCAACAGATGGGATAGATCCAAATTTGGAGTCCAAATGGATGGACTCCAAGTACACATTTGTACAATACAAGATAGATACACTCTGAACTTTAAGTTCACACAAGCCAAACACTCCTAGTTCACAAACTGTTAGTCAATATTTACTTCAAAATTGCATTATTTCAGCAACTTATCACAACATGCAAGATAGGCATTCCTGGCCTACCAGCCACTTCTGAATCTGCCCCCATTTCCGGTCAAAGGAAGGATGAGAGGTCTATAAATGCAAAGGTTTCAGAAAATGGTTTTCAACATATTATATATTTTTAAAAATTCTTAAATTTAGTAATACAGATTTGCTCTAGAGAACAAGGGTAGGTCACTCAAAGCCACACTTCTAAAATGTAGGGAAAGACTAGGCTAAATATGTTCAATAATAAAAAGATACATTATTCTCTGAAATTTAGAAGACCACAAATAGAGCCATCTCATTTACTTTTTTTTTTTTTTGGTCTGGTTGTGGGGCCTGAACTCTGGGCCTGGGCGCTGTCCCTCAGCTCTTCAGCTCAAGGCTAGTGCTCTACCACTTGAGCCACAGCACCACTTCCGGCTTTTTGCTTTTTGCTTATGTGGTGCTGAGGAATCGAACCCAGGGCCTCATGCATGCAAGGCATGCCACTGAGCCAACTTCCCAGCCCCCTCATTTACTTTTTATGAGTGAAAGACAATGGATGGCAACATTTACATTATAAGCCAAGAACTAAATTAAATATTTGAAACTATATTTAAGGTAATTACTTTAATGAGAAGTTTCAGGCCAAGTTAATGTTGGAAAGAAGGGGTAAAAGAGAGTATTTCATTTTTATCAGTCCAATTTCCATATGTCTACTACTTAAACACTTTTGCTGCTTTCTGATAATAAAATATACTAAAAATCAGTAAACTACAGAAAAGAATGAGGAAATTAAAACCAACAAAAGTATTAGTAGTAATCACTTCTTTCTAGTAGTTTTTGATCCTTTTTTAAATTTGTAAACATAAAATAGGATTTTGTCTTCCATTTTCTTACATAAATATTTTTCTACATTACTAAATATGCTTCAAAATTATAATAAGTTTCAGCTAAGCTGCAGTTCATTGTGATGTTCCTGCCTTGATTTGAACATATCCTATCAAGATTTCCCATTCAAAAATCCAGTTCTGCTTCACTCAAGCCAGAAGAGTCACAATATATATTGCCACACAGGAATGAAGGATTCACAGTGGGGAATGTAACATTGCAAGTGGAATTCATGTTCATATCATAAACATGACAGTATACAAAGTATTCACAACAACACTTACCAAATTTTTAATCTGGGCACCAATGGCTCATACCTGTAATCCTAGCTACTGAGGAGGCTGAACCTGACGACTGGGGTTCAAAGCCAGCCTGGGCAGGAAAGTATGTGAGAATCTTATCTCCAAATAATCTTAATCTCCAAGTAATCTCAATCTCTCTCTCTCTTTCTCTCTCCCTCTCTCTCTCTCTCTCTCACACACACACACACACACACACATGCACGCACACATGTTTATCAGAAGTGGGCTGTGGTTCCAGTGGTAGAGCACTAGCCTCAAGCTGAAAACACTCAGGGAGAGTGCCCAGGCCCTGAATTCCAGCCCGGACAGCAAAAAAAAAAAAAAAAAAAAAGAAAACAAAACAAAAAAAATAACCTCAAGTTGATCATTTTGAAGGAGGACAGCTGGAACTCAAGATTACAAGTTGAGGACTTTAGTTTTTGTGCTCTTGTTCAATCTTTCTATATTATTTAATATTTCATATACCATTTTTTAATTCCTTCCTCTCCTGTCTTCATAAAAACTAGTATATTTAAAAAGAAAAAGCAACCAGGTGCTGGTGGCTCACACCTGTAATCCTAACTAATCAGGAGGCTGAGATCTGAGGATTCCAGTTCAAAGCCAGTTCAGGCAGGAAAGTCCATGAGACTCTTACCTCCAACAAACCACCAGAAAACCAGAAGTGGCACTGTGGCTCAAGTGGTAGAGTGCTAGCCTTGAGCTGAAGAGCTGAGGAACAGCATCCAGGCCCAGAATTCAAGCCCCATAACCAACAAGAGAGAAACAGAGAAAGAAAAAAGAGATGGAAGGAAGGGAGGGAGGGCGAGTGAGCAAGCACATACTGGATCCCATATAGATCCAATGACTTTCAGAGTAGAAATAGATGGCGCTCTGAAAAAAAGACTCAGTTCATTCTGGGAATTTCCTTCCCATTCCCACTGTCTGTCAGTCTATCTCTCTGATGCACACATACATACACATACATACAAATTCAATAAACTGTATTCAATATAAATTTATATAGAATGCATATCATATTATATAAATATCTAGTTTATATTCCATGTGTATATTATATGTAGTTTTATAGTATACATTTTTTAATTTTTATTTTTATTTATTGTGCCAGTCATGAGGCCTGAACTCGGGCCCTGGGCACTGTCCTTGAGCTTTTTTTTCTTTTGGTCAGTTGTGGGGCTTGAATTCAGGGACTCAGCTCTGCCCCTGAACTCTTTTTGCTCAAGGTTCTACCACTTTGAGCTACAGCACCACTTCCAGTTTTTAAGTAGTTAATTGGACATAAGAGTCACTTCACAGTGACTTTTCTGCCTAGTCTGGCTTCGACCCACAATCCTTAGATCTGTTTCTTGAGTAGCTAGGATAACATGCATGAGCCACCAAAGCTTTATAGTATATATCTTATAGTATATATATATATATAGAGAGAGAGAGAGAGAGAGAGAGAGAGACATAAAGATATAGATGTATATATATATATACATATATATAGTATATATCTTTACAATTCTAGGAAATTTAGGGTTATGCTAAGTAGTTTTGCTGTCTCTAAAACTACTTTAGCTAATATAAGTAAAGCATTTATAACAATGTAACAATTTATAACAAAATATATAGGAAGAGTTTTATATATGTGTTCACTGTTATTTAAAATAAGCATTATGCGCCAGGCACTGGTGGGTCACACCTATAATCCTAGCTACTCGGGAGGCTGAGATCTGAGGATCACCGTTAAAAGCCAGACCAGGCAGGAAAGTCTTGAGACTCTTATCTCTAATTAACCCCCAGAAAACCAGAAGTAGCACTGTGGCTCAAGGTGGTAGAACGCTAGCCTTGAGCAAAAAGAGCTCAGAGACAGTGCCCAGACCCTGAGTTCAAGCCCCAAACCCTACTCAGAAAAAAACAAAAAATAAAAACAAGCATTACATTTATTTTGCTTTCCTACAGTGGCTTGTTAAAAGCCACCTATGAAGGTGTTTCAAAGAACCAGATTCACCTTGTAGACAGTATGGCTAGAGGGAGACACATATGGGATCACGGTTATTCCTCCACATTACCTCTTTTTGTTGTCGTTCCAGTTCTCTCATACGTATATCTCTTGCTTCTGCTCGGGCAGCCCGTTTTGCTGCTAGCCTTGCCTCCGCCTGAAAGTAATATAAAACTCAGCTTTACAAAACAAAACAATCTATATACTAGATTTAAGGATAAGAAAACAAAACATAACTTCCAAAGGGGGATAAAGAGAAAAGATAGCATATATTATTAAGTTTGACTGACTTTGTCAGCCAACTTCTTCAACAAAATCTCAAATCTAGCCATTATCTCTAACTGCTTACCTTAATTATACATTTTACAGATTTACTTAGCTCATTCACACTGTTCTTTCTCCAGCATTTCTTTGCCAATCTATTCAAATATATAAGTTAGGGGCTAGGAAGGTGGCTCAGTGGTAGAGCACTTGCCTTGCATGCATGAGGCCCTGGGTTCGATTCCTCAGCACCACATAAGCAAAAAAGAAAAAAACAGAAGTGGTGCTGTGGCTCAAGTGGTAGAGTGCTAGCCTTGAGCTGAAGAGCTGAGGGACAATGTCCAGGCCCAGAGTTCAGGCCCCATGACTGGACCAAAAAAAACAAACAATCAAATATATGTTAGAACCAGCTGGCATTTCATTTTGGGTATTGTCAATATTCAGCCTCCATATAATGTCAATTCTTTTGAGTATTTTTCAAACACCACTTATTCTAGGATTTCTCTGCTTTTTCCAATTCTTTTCTTTTTTCTTTCTTTTTTTTAAAAATTGTTTTTGTCGTCAGTGATGGGGCTTAAACTCTGAGCCTGGACACTGTTCCTTAGCTTTTTCCATTCAAAGCTGGTGATCTACGACTTGAGCCATTGCTCCCCTTCCTTTCTGTGAAATGTTACCTCCTGTGATGATTTTCCCCATCCCTTCTTTCACAGAATAATACTATTAATAGTATATGTCTATGCCTCTATCATAGGTTTCTTACTTTGTATTAAAACTATATCCTGGGCTGGGAATGTGGCTTAGTGGTAGAGTACTTGCCTAACATGCTTAAAGCCCTGGGTTCGATTCCTTAGTACCACACAGACAGAAAAAGCCAGAAGTGGTGCAGTGGCTCAAGAGGTAGAGTGCTAGCTTTGAGCAAAAGAAGCTCAGGGACAGTGCCCTGAGTTCAAGCCCCAAGACTGGCAAAAAAAAAAAAAAGACAATCCTTTTGCCATCTCATAACTTTCATGCTTTAGTGTGTACTAAAAAACAACAAATGAATTTCAGGCCATGAGCAGAGTATCAAATAAATAAAATGAGGAAATAACATGATGCATCACATAAAACATAAAAATCTTCTAACTCTAATTCAGATTACCCTCTGATAACAACAATATTGCTTTTTTTCCACATTGTTACATTTATGCCTAAATCTTATAACAAGAGAATCAGGCAATGTTTACAAGAGTCTATATGTAATCACTTACTTAGGAGCTAAAAATACAGAGTAAGGTATTATATCTCTGCTCCAAAGCAGCTCACATGATAGAAAAAACACGTTTTCTACATTTATCTCTTTTCTCTTTTCTGAATTTCTAAAACCACTAAACACTCATTCCTTCTAGATTTTCATCTCTTAATATTCTGCAATAGCTAGAATTACAGGCATGAGCCACCAGTGCCCAGCTTAGACTATGTTTTAACTTCAAGAAATTTGAAGTCAAAAATTTTTTAAACTGAATCACTAATAAGTGGAGGTGTTGCTCAAGTGGTAGAATGTCAGCCTTGAGCAAATAAACCAAGTGAGAATATGAGGCCCCGAGTTCAAGCCCCAGCTCCCCCACCCCCGAAACACTCAAGAAAAACACTAATTCGAGTAGCTAGGACTCCGAATTTACTATGTTTAATTTTGTTCATCTTTCTGTAACTCTCAGGCCAAGAGAAAGACTAACATAATATTTATTTTGTTACCATGATTTCCAAATTAACAAAAACTATTGCTTCATTTCCTAACAACTTCCTTTAATAAAAAAAACTCAGATACCATTTTTCTTTTATTAAATCGTGTAACTTAGTGTTTACTTCTTGTTTAAAGCTTTCAGTACTTGAAAACAAATATTTAAATTTTTCTGAACATAAATGCCAACATGTTAGTAGTAAAATGTAGAAATTTTGACTAGTCATTTCATGTTGCCAGACAATTAGATATTTCTTCTATTCAAAGACTTTTTGACAGCAAAAAATATTCTTTGGGGATGAGAAAGGAAATGTAAAGTTAAAAACTGAGGTCTGAACACAAGCAAATAATATCAAACCAAAGGGGAAAATGTAAGTCATAGTTTTAGTAAAATAAATATAATAATAGTGTCTTTTTTGGTAGCAAAAGGACTCTGTCAGCAATGACATCACATTTATGTTAAAGATAGTCTGCTATCTGAATGCCTTTCCAAACAGTCATAGTTATAGCAATAATCATAACAGCAAAAGCTTTAGTCAAACAGACAAAACCAAGTCTTGGAACACAATATTCCTTCCTTCATTCCAGATAGAAAAAAAAAATCAAGAAACAGTGAAATAACAGGAGTTACTTTGGCTACCTCAAACTAGTGACCAGAGCCAGGCTGTTCAGGGTTCCAGAGGACAGGAGATGGAGTTGTGTCTCAGCCACATCTCCCACTTGCTCTACCTTAGATTGAGTGGGCAAAAGGAAAAGTCATGGAAAAGTCCTGTACTCAACAGGAGTTGGCTAAGGTCCTAAACTAATAACATCTGAAGAAAATATAAGTGACTAAAACTAGAACAAATATAGATTTTCTTTCAGAGGATTTGGCTAATAAATACCATGAGGAAAATAATTTAGATAGAAATGGAAAAATTCTTTTTTTTTTCTTTTTTGTCTTTAAAAGAGTTGACCAACTCCTAGAAACAAACCTAGTGGCTATCATGATCCCCATCTCTTTAACCATTTTAGGTATCACCATATTCCTGGCTTCATTTATCAAAAGTCATACTGAACAATAAGTTCTGGAGGGCTGGGAATGTGGCTTAGTGGTAGAATGCTTGCCTAGCATGCAGGAAACCCTGGGTTAGATTCCTCAGTACCACATATATAGAAAAAAGCCAGAAGTAGCACTGTGTCTCAAGTGGTAAGATTGTGCTAACCTTGAGCACAGAGAGGCTCAGGAATAGAGCCCTGGCCCCAGGAATAGAGCCCAGTTCAAGCCCCAGGATTGGCAAAAAAAAGTCAGATAGTAAATACTGAAATATCAAAATGCTGAAACAGGATACAGGTTGACCCACTAACAATGAGAAGTACAAGTCACTATGTTGAAAACGAACTTTACAACTTCAGGGGCAGGGGAGGGAGGAGTTGGGGAGGTGGGGAGGGAAGGGATAGTAGGGGGAGAAACAAAGGAGGGGGTAACAATGCTCGATAATACTCATTAATGTACTCATGTAACTGTAACTCCTCTGTATAGTATCTTTACAATTATATATACATATATATACACACATACATATTTCACGCCTGTAATCCTAGCTACTCAGGAGGTTGAGATCTGAGGATCGTGGTTCAAAGCCAGCCCGGGCAGGAAAGTCTATGAGACTCTTATCTCCAATAAACCACTAGAATACAGGAAGCGGCGCTGTGGCTCAAGCAGTAGAGCACTCGCCTTGAGCTGAAGAGCGTAGGGACAGCGCCCAAGCCCTGAGTTCAAGCCTCATGACAGACAAATAAATAAATAAATAAACAAACAAATTATATATATATATATATAAAATAAGTTCTGGATTGCAAAAGAGGATTTTTTTATTGTACTGATCTATAAGACCTTGTCAACAAGTTAAGCAGAAATACACACAAGTGCTACATAAGTTTTTTTCATGACTGAAAACAATGACTCCTGTCTCCTGTTAATGAAGTTTAAAGTACCAGCAGGGAGAGCACTTTTAAATTTTAAATAAGGGTAATTCTGTCTCTTGTGGAACTAACTTTTATAGACAAATCCAATATCCACAGAACAAGCTGAACTAAATATGTAAAATATTCAAAAAATGTTAGAAGTACAAAATATTCTAGATTTGACACTGAAATCCTGGAGCTCTTTAGGGCTCCTCCAAGAAATGATTTCCTCTAAGTCTACCATTTTCCTCTCTAGTTGATTACATCCATACTTACCAAAATGAGCTGCATTATTTTTACATGTTAACAAGTTTCAAATGCTTACCTACAGCCTAAACTTTTCCTTTGAGCTCGCAAACCCCATTTTCAAAATCTTCATTTAGATATCTCATAGGCACCATACATAGATATATGCCAACATACATTGATAGTATTCCCTCCTCCATTCTAATGTTCCCTCTTATTCATTTAGATGTATAAGCCATCCCTCCTTTGCTATCAACCCTCCACTATCAACTTCTTACCTCTCTAATCTAATCACCATTATTGTCAGCACCCTTCACAAGCCTCAATCATCTATGATCCATGACTCACTTCCTTGCAACTACTAATGCAATATACTCATACAACCTATATTAAGTTCCTTCTAAACTACAAATCAGACCATGTCACGCCTACATAAAACCTTAACATTTCCTCATTGCTTTTAGTACACAGGTCAAAACCCTAGAGTCTACATAAGGATTAAATTCATTTGAAGTGGATACATAGTAAGAACTATATAAAATACTAGCTATTGTTAGTCCTTTAGCTTTCCATACTTCTTCAGCCTCAAAAGCTTATCAAAAATTTTTATCCTCTAGCTGGAAAGCTCTTCTCAAAAAGTTTTATCCTCTGGCTGGAAAGCTCTTCCCTATATTAATCAACTCCATTTCCTTAAGTAGTTCATTCATCTTTCAAGAGCACATCAAAGGGTACTCAAAGATGCCTTTCCAAACCCCTCAAATATATCAAGTTCCTGTGGCATACTCTAATAAAACTGTGTACTCGTCTCCCAAAATACTTAACAGTTATAAATAAGCATATCTGTATTTCCTCGATTCTAAGAATGTTAGTGACTGTGACATTTTCAAAACAAAAAGAAATTACTTTATTAAATGTATTCAAAATTTGAGGAACTTGTCCATTGTGTAATTATTTGTTTGGTGGCTATTTCCCCTTCGAAATCTAAG